ATTCTTTTTAAGAGTTAAAATCATTCTTGAAATAGATACATTATTACGGAAATTTCGCTTTGTATGAAGGTAAAAACCCTAGCGTGAAGAGTCATCGTTCTTTGCAACAATATGTGTAAAGTGAAATATATGGAGATAACGAACAGTATTCAAGCTCAAAAGTCCATTATACAATACAAAATAGGAGCAGAGCAAACACGGACCTCCAAACATCAGAGGTGGGATCAGGTGCCATGGAGGAGTGAGCATCCCCTGCCGACCGGTCACACCCGCCGTGTGCTCCTTGTCATGATCGGGAAATAACGGAAAAATCCGTCGACAATTCAGTGTGTAAATAATGGCCTAACAACCGGTATGAAAAACGTCAGTCAGCATTTGACTCAATGATAAATTGTATTTGCTGACAAGGTCATTGTATCGACCATAGAACTTACGAAATGATGACTTTAAACGAGACAGCTGATATTCTTGTTTCATCAACTTATTTGTCAATAATTTACCTCGTTTTAGAAATTGTACATACGTAGAGCATGCTCTTGCGTTTCGAATCAACTGAGATATATATACCCCGTATGCAGGTGATGAAGGTATATTGCTGCATAAGTAAGGGAAGTTGACGATTGAAAAGTTAAAGTCATCACGTTTATCATAAAGCTTGGTTGTTAGATTACCATTAACGTCTTTTTCAAGTAAAATATCCAAATATGAAACAGATGTGTCAGACTCTGTGGTATCTTTTATCTCAAGTTCACCAGGATATATCGTATCGACATAAGAATGAAAATAGCCATTGTTAATTGACAATACGTCGTCGATATATCTAAATGTCGAGTTGAACGACACAGCAAATGTTTTCTTCTTTTCACGTACAAGATTTTGGACAAATTCTGCTTCATATGAATACAAAAAAAGGTCTGCTAATAACGGAGCGCAATTGGTACACATAGGAATTCCAATAGATTGTTGGAAGACCTGGTCTCCAAAAAATGAACAAATAAATTAAGGATATAGAGCTCTGTTTAATTTGTAGAAAGTTTTATTTTACAATTAAACACGTTGACTAAATTATTATTTTTTTTTAAATTAAAAACACCTTAATCAGTAATCTTAATCATTTTAAATTTCTTTTTACCGGGTGTTTTCCATTTAAAACTAAATTTTATTCCTTTTGCACAACATTCCATATATATACTTTTGAATGTGTTGTTATAAGTGATTAGATTGTACTGCGCCAGTGTAAGAAGCAAAAGAAGCTGCATTTATGGTGCTATGAACGCAACTGGTAAGCGCAGGTTCATAGTGGGAGAAAACAGAGTGTACAATGTTTGCAAATATAACGCAATGTTGCACTTTTGCAAGTGATAACGCGCTAGCGTAGAGTGGCAACGCACCATCGCGTTGTGAACAACGATAGTAATCTTTTGCTTTTCTGACCAGTTTTTAGTAAATCTTGGGTTATACTAAATGAGGTATTTGCAATCCTATTTAAACCTTTTCAAGCGTATTTCATGTTAGTTGAACAAAAAGTAAATAATAGCAAAATACATTTTTTTTTTCTAAATAGAAACAATTCTTTGCATACATGCTAACCACTTCATAACCAAACAGGTTCATTCAAAGTTAGTACTCAGAAAGTAAATATTTTGCACGTCTTTCTAACAATATTTTACATGTATTTCTATCAATATTTTAAACGTATTTTTATCAATAATATGTTGACGGTGCGACCGTTAGGGCGAGCGCAGATATTTATTCAGGATTAATTTAGATCGGGCTCGATCGTCAAACTGCACGTGACATTTGGTGCGTCAAGACTCTGACGTCAAATGACGTCGTATTTAAGTTGCATTACCAAACCGAAGCCTGAACATTCTTGACTTTAATGAAGAACGTTTTGTTTACTATTTATCTGCAATATATCCATTAAATCAAGGCGAGTTTATTTATTTTTTTTTTTTTTTGGTTAAACCTTTGTTGTAATTCTCGCGAGAATGTAGCTTAAACAAGCGATGCATTAGGGTCCAAAAGTTACTGCGGAAAAAAATTCGTTTGGATCAATGTGTAAGTCCGAATTTTCTCTTCGCATCACCTTTATCATAAAGTTCTGTTGTGAGGTAACTATAACGTCTTTTCTAGTAAAATATCCAAATATGAAACAGATGTGACAGACTCTGTGGTATCTTTTATTTCAAGCTCACTGGGGTATATCGAGTGGAAGTAACTATTGTTAATTGTTAATACATCGTCGATATATCTAAATGTCGAGTTGAAGGACACTGAAATGTTTTCTTCTTCTTATGTAGAAGTCTTTGAATAAATTCTGCTTCATATGAATACAAAAATAGGTCTGCTCATAAGGGGGCGCAATTGGTACCCATGGAAATTCCAATAGATTGTTGAAAGATCTGATCTAGAAAAACTACTTGGATATTATCAATCAGAAGCTCGATCATCTTTTTTATAATGTCAACTTCAGAATACATATGTGTGAAATCAGATTGTTTTTAACAAAGTAACTTTGTAAATGACCAATGACAAGGTAGGTATATTTACGAGTTCCATTTTTTATTGAAATAGCAGCTGTCTATGATGTTAAAAAGCCTGGACTTTAATTTATCGTGGGGAATGGTTGTATAAAGTGTCGAAAAGTCGTACGTTTTGATGTTATTGATTTTGTTAAAATTTTGTTATTTCAATTTTTTTAAGTTTTTAAGTATCCATATTTGATTTACACCACTTGTCGAATATACTATTGTGCAGTACTCGTGAAGATCCTCTTTCACTGCTGTAAATATTTTAGTGAGGAGTAAAGAAAGAGGCTTGGTAGAACATTTACTGGAACCTGCTATGTATCTTTCTTTGTTAGTATTTCCATGGAGTTTTGGAATCTAGTATTGATATGGTAATTCAAATTCATTTTGATTGTTTTGAAGAATTTCTTCCTTAGAGGGGAGCTATGGGTTTAATTTACCACTTGCAGAATTAAATCCTAGTTCCTCTAAAATACAATTCAAATAATGAGCCTTACCCTAACCCAGACAAAATTCCTTATATTATAATGCTTATTATATTTTATGAACTATGTTGAAATATTATTATATGTTAAGAGAGATTGAAATCAGTAATGGTTATAATCCTTAGTCAAAGTAACTGCATATTATGAAGATAAAAGCTTGCCTTCTATACTATCTACCAGGTAAGCAATATATGTTTTCTACTTTATTTTAAAAATGAAACGAAGATTGTCAAGATTTCCTGAGAATATCTCACAATGACTGGAAAAAGAATTTACAAGAATATAACGTAAGTAATAACTCACCAGAAAAAAATATTTCTATAACAAAATCGTAAAATTTACGTTTTTAAGAATAATTATTGATTTTAATGACTAAATGTTACAAAAACACCCCAAAACACCAATTCTAAAAAAAAAAAAGAAAAAGATCATGTTTACCAAGTTACGAATAAGTGCACTTGATCTCTTTACTGAAACCAGCAAATACTTTAGGCCCTCAGTTCCCAGAGAAAATCAAACTTCTTACTTACAGGATTTACTATGTCATCCATAGAGCCACTTTTCATAAAAAGTTGTGTATTAAAAATATCCTGGTACTGATTCTACACTAGTCATATGACGGTCATATTACAGCTAGTACATTACAAAACGTTTTCCAGATTCTTTAAACACTTTACAAGTATGACAAAAACTTTAGTGAGAGAGTGCTCAGAAACACAGGAAAAATATTTTGAAATCTCAGTTTGTAATAATATATACTATTTTTATGTGTCTACATTGATATTTACTAGTATTCATGATTGATACCGATATACATGTATGTATTTCGTACTTGTGTCTGAGTTCATTAACTGATACTGAATTCAGATACTTTCCCTATGGCATTTTTCATGTTTTTGCTTTTTTCGACATTGACTTTAAAACAATTAATAAGTTATCTCTTTATATTCAACCATCGAGAGCCTATATACTAGTATATCGGCTTTTTTTTTCAAATCTATTTTCGTGAATCAGAAGTTGAATTAGTTAAGTCTTATCATACTGTTGTACATATTGAAATCCACGTACTAATTTATATAGGTATATCACAGTTCATTTATCGACCAAAAATCCTTCAGACTGTAATTATGTTAATCAAATAATCCAGTTAGTTATTAATTAGATCCTCCTCAATTCATTACATTCTGGGTTTTTTTTATTCCAATAGATTTCCGTCTAATTATTCATAAATAAATGGAAACATCATCATTCATGTGATATAGGGTGATAACATCCATGAACAACAAGCATCCAGTAGTTGATATATTTTATAATGCATCAACGTCAATTTCTATTGGTGTCTGGAACAAAAGTATCCAAATTAGTACCGCGAGGCCGGAGCTCTTTTGACAATTTGTGAACGTAAAACCTTGTTTGTTATGACTTATCTGTTAATTAGCAATGACACATTGTACAGTCTACAATAAATTAACAAAAGGTATTCATCACTTTTTGTAATTTTCATCATTAGCACCAGAATTGTGCCGGCCATAAACCGTGAATTAAATACCTATGTATATATATGCATATATAATACTTAGGTATATATAATATTTTTGCATATATAATTCTAATTTTAAGAACCCACCTCACTCTCCGGACGAGGTAAGTTGAATGTGCAGATTCATTATGTTACTCAGCGATCTGACAATTTTGGTATTCATTTTAAAAGTTTTATCTTAAAGAATAAGATTAATTTTTTTTTTAATTCGAGATTTATTTATTTATTTATTTATTTTTTTTTTTATTATTATTTTTTTTTTTGCTTTCATAAAAAACATTACATAATTGTATCAAATTACACTTGTTTAGAAGTAAAAAGTTATACTATAATAACAGAATCTCTCGCAGATAATTTGTGCTTAGTCTTATACACCTAACTATATTTTTGTATTTTATCCTAGAGCACGAACAGCCGGGGAGTAAGTCGCGATAGATTCTGACAATGTCCAACACTACTATAGATACATCTATAAACTCAAGCTACTCCTGCAACTCGAGCAGCTGCACACGAGACCAGGATCTCCCCCAGGGATCATCAACCGTCTACGATGACGTACTGGAGGGACTGGCGTATGTTAACTACGTTCTACTGCCCACAATGCTCGTGCTAGGGATCGGGGGAAATATCCTCACAATCCTTGTTATGACGTCACCTAAATTCCAGCAGCTGACCTCCAGATACTATCTGATTTTCCTCGCTCTGTCAGACATTACGCTTCTTCTGACTCAGCCTTTCAATAAGATGTTTGTCATCAAAATGTTGGGTGTTGATGTTAGGGCCTTATCCGATGTCGGCTGCAAAGTTTTTTTCTGGTTTTTTCGTACTGGAAAAATGACTTCGTCGTGGTTTGTCGTCTGTCTTTGCGTTGAAAGATTCATTGCAGTATGGTTTCCATTGAAAGCAAAGATAATTTCTACAAGGAAATCGGCAGTTTTACAGATAATATGCGTGTATTTAATAATCGGGTCATTCAATGGGGTTTGGACAAGAAATTCCGAAGTCCTTGAGGATGGAAAATGTTATCCCGACTATTTTGACAAAAAAGACCGTTCTGAAGCCGAGACCTACAAGGCCATGCTGACTGCTGGCTCCACTTTGTACTCCCTAGCTCCTCTTTGTATCTTGGCCACAGTCACCCCTCTAATCGTGTTCAAACTAGCCAGGCACAGACAACAGCGTAAACGCCTTACTTCCGCAACTACGAACGACAACTCCCAGGCAACCAAAACCACCGCCATGTTGATCGGTATCGTAGTGGCCTACTTCCTTCTAGTCCTTCCTATAACTACACTCCATAACATAGCTTTCTACATGGGAATGAAAAGTTTTGGTGACAATCCCAAAGGTTTCTTGATTTTCCGTGATGTATCCCAGATATTAGAACAGATTAATTACGGCATTAACTTTTACCTTTACGTCCTGACGTCAACACAATTTCGACAGCAGCTAAAGCTGTACTTTACAGATAACAGACTAATTAAAATGTTACGTAACGTCACATTGTCCACGGAAGGTAAAACCAACTCCACAAAGCTCTCTAAGAAATCGCCTGATGACCCGGAAGTAGACGAGAAAGCCTAATGTATTTATATTTAAGGACTGTTTGTTTTAGTTTTGTGAGTATGGTTAGTGTGTAAATCACAGACTTGTCACGTAAGCATATTTCATGACGCGAACTAAAAATATGCCTACATGACAAGTCCGTGTAAAACGTACACCAATAACACTCACAAACTTAAAAACATTCCTAACGTTTACATTTTACATGTTTAAAATCAACAAAAATACACTCAAGAGTTTAGTTTTTTTGTTGCCCTATATCATTACATTTTCATCATCACCTCATTAACGTCACATTCGCGCAAGTTTCTACTCGAGACTATACATGAAATTACATTCACATATAGTTGGTTTATTAAAAAAAAAAACACATTTACCATGAATACCTACGTGCTAAAAGTTTCCAACATTTTACATACTTTTGTATTTTGTATTTTAGTTGACATTTTATATGTGACGTGATATACCTCAGAATTTACCGGAAGTAGTACACTTTCTTTTGTACTGTTTTGCCAAATTTAAATCAGTCACTGCAGTTGATTTTGTCGTTTGTTTATTATAGAGTGGGGCAGAATAATTAAAAAAAAATAATTCTCAGAAAGCATTTTCTAAGAAAATGTTATAATTTTCTTTAGCGAGGTCAACTTATGTTAGATACACGTTTGAGATTTATTTTTGTGTTTGATATTAAATGTAATGTTCAACAGAACTCGTTTCCTTCTTTTACAGGTGCTCGAGGACAGGAACCAACCCCCAACCCCAACCCCAACCCCACCACGATATTGACCCCCGGGCCTTTTCGACTTTTCTCTCATAAATTATCTATGAATGACATACTTAGTATATAGAAGGGCATATTTATGATTTAATCTATACCATCAACTCGAAAAAATTGCCTAAAACAAACATTCTATAAAAATAACTATTCCACTGTTAATTTATATAGAGTGGGCTAGATTTTATAAAATGTGTGTTAGGGTTAGGGTAAGCGGTCTATATCGGGGGGGGGCTGTCCTCAAGCACCTGTGCTTCAGCTGAGCAGGGATGGGGTAATTGAAAAAAGTAATTGTAATTGAGTGTATTTAATTACATTTTTCAAAGTAATTGGAAGTAATTTGTAATTGATCAATTTTTCAATTACTTGTAATTGAATATAATTAATTACATTGAAAAAAATACCCTGTAATTTCAATTACTTTTCAATTACTTAATTAAATACACATTTTATGTGTATTTAATAGGATAATATTTCAAACAGATTCACATTTTACAGTTATTTTGACTTACTCAATGAAGCCCTTCTGTTTTTCAAAATCTTAAACTTTTTTATATCTTGATAAATGAATTTGATATATTGGCTTGTTTATAAAAATATTAGTTTGAATAGGAGTACATTAATACTAGTTTACTGTTTATCAAAAATTTTGTTCTACCTCTCATAGGGTTGGATACCGGTACTCGGTACCAATACCGTACCGAATAGTTATTTCAAAAATACCGGTAAAATACCGTTTCATTTAAAACCGGTACTAATAACGGTACTTCTCAACCTTTCATTCAATTTGATTAAAAAAAAAAAGATTCCAAACTGGCTAAAATTGAATTCTCTGCTCATTGGAAAGGTAGGCTAATTAAATGTAACGAAATGGATTCTTAGAACGATACTTACTTTCGATTGCCGATATTCGAGGTAAATCAATACGTATATTTTTTTTTTAAAAATTAAAAATACATTCGCATGAATCTTATTTTAATTTTACAAATAAAAACTGATAATAAATGTAAATTAAAAAGGCAAAATGTCGAAAAAGAATGTGATCTATACATTATCTAATGTTTTGTCATTTAGTGCGACCAAACAAAAGGGTCCTGGCAACCGGGGGTGAAGCAGTCAGCCGATTTGTGCAAATTAATTTGTTTGGGATTCAATTGATTTGTTTTGTTGATCATTATTAAAAGGTTGAAATGAAATGTTTGTAATTTGAATATTAGAAATATCTATTGTTATCTCTTAAAAGCATGGAACAAAGTTTATAAGCTCATTTTAGATTATATCATTGAAACGTTAGTGAATGGTGAAAGCACATTTGTTAAAAAATGAACCCTCATTCTCATTCATCAATGCATAGTACCGTATCGTTAAAAATACCGTATCGTTTCAAAAATACCGGCATGGTATCGTACCGTTTCATCCTTAACGGTATCCAACCCTAACCTCTCATTGGTATAGGCATGAAAACATTTCAATTTTTTGTTGCTTGATAATCAAAAAGAATAGAAGATAATTTAATGTGTCATTAAGACCTGCCTTGTTGCCCTTCAACTCTCAGCTGTAAATTGCTATAAAACAACCCTCCAAAGTTTTATATAGTTTTACACCATGCTTTGTTAAATTCAAAGATAGAGATTTATTAAATACTATTAAGAATGCTCTACTATTTATATACTTCAGAAAAGAAATATATATTGAATCACTATTTTTAACATTTAAACAGATCTTTATATACATATATGCATTTGGTATCTGAAATGGTTATTACATAAAACAAATATTAATTGTATCAAAATTGTCAACATTTGCAATTTAAGGTGTTTGGCTTGCCTACCTATAGCTGAAATAATTTGGGAAGTATTTTATGTTTGATTCATAAACTCTTGAAAACTCGTTTTTAATCAAATTTCATCAAGGTAGTCTATTGATAAATGCACATTAAGGACTAAGTCTTGTGTTCATGAAACACACAAGCATCACAGACACCTGTCTTTTTTTTTTATTTCAAATATTCCCCCTACCTTAAATTTACATGTATTTGTTTTTTTTTTTTTTTAAAGATTTTTGAAAGTGAAACAAAAGTAATTGAAATGTATTTAATTACATTCTTCAAAGTAATTGAAAGTAATTAATTACTAATTAATTAATTGTAAAAATCAATGTAATTGTAATTGCATGTAATTGACAAAATTTTCAATGTATTTAAAAGTATTTAATTACATTTCAAAGTAATTGACCCCAACACTGACTGCAGCTTAGTCACATTTGTCCTTGCGTTTCTTCAGAACAATGGCTCTACCTATGCCCCAGTGCCATGGTTTGAACAAACTTGAATCTACAGTACCTGGATGCTGGCATATTAATATCACTTATCACTTACAACTATTACTGAGTAGATTGTAAGAGATTTCTTTTCTATACATTTTCGTGTAAAACGTTAATGATCTATCGTGCCCTGACCCTACCATGAGGATCATGATTTAAACAAACTTGAATCAACACGACCTTAAATGCTTCATTGCAATGCTTGCTATTAATATGACTTATCTTACAGGTAGTGCATTTCTTCTTTACAAAAAACTTCTGTAAAGATTTTTTTTCAATAGAAATATATACCCATATAAAACGTTGATACCGTAACCCTATAAAGCCTCCACCCTATTCTCTGTGGACACGATTTGAACAAACTTGAATCTACACTATATGACGAAGTAATAGCTTTTCAAAACAGCTTGCCAGACTAAAGCAATCAATATCTATAGAACGTATTAGGCATGATAAGTAATACATTTTCCATCCATTTTTTTTTGGGGGGGGGGGGGTGGGTGTGGAGGGGGGGGGGTCGAAATATTTCATTACTGACTTTGCAAAACATCATGATTTTTTTTTATGATAAAGAAAAGTGCACACAATTTCCCTTGTTGAAGTGGATGTCTCTATTGAAAAAAAACTGTCTGTCTTAAGACATTTCCATTTAGTGTCTTGAGATAAAAAACTTTAAATCAAAATAATGCTTTATCTTTATAGAGATGCATACTAAAATCATTTACAAGGAATTGATAATTGTTATTACAGACCTGCTGAATGTTTACACATGCATCACTACTGCATAAGGGTAGATATATGAATAAACACGATTTTTTTTTTTCAGGGGAGTTGGTTCCACATTTACGAAAGCCCATTGAGCTGATTTTCGCAGGTTAAAAAAAAAATAAATTTCTCTATATAACGCGAAACTTTCGCGTTTTAACGCATAACTTTCGCAAATAAACGCGTAACTTTAACGCGAAAGCTTCACGAATAAACGCGTAACTTTCGCGTTATAACGCGAAATTATACATATATAATCATGTTACTTAGGAACTTGTGATCTTGACTGACAGATCAGAAACATGAACACAGACGGGGATTTCTATGAATTTATAAATGACATTTCATTAGAAGTTGTAAAAGAGAATTGGTGCGAGAAATGGGTAGAATAGTCTTGAAAAATTTACATTTAATTTCAATACCCTTCTTATTAATAAAATGATTATTTTTTTAAAGATTTTCTTGTTTTGTTGAATCCAAGAAATTCTTTAGACTGATTTTTTTTTTTTGGAAGATCTTTTTTTTAATCAGTTAAGTAAACTACAACTTTACCATTGGTTAAAAAATCCATCTTTTTGGACTATACATTATACACTGTAGAAATCTGGCTTTAAAGTAAGGGAACAATGTATCATTTCATGGGCTAAACGTGCCATATGATGCTTTTTCAAGAATAATTATAATAGGATACTGTTAATCACAAATTTATCAGGGAGGAGGGTTCTCCTTTTCTTAATTTTCTTACCTTATTTACATATACGAGGGGTTATTAAAAAGTTCGTGAACAAGCGCTATAAATTAAAACTGCTGAAATTCATAATTATAGAGTTTCACTTTGGAAAAACTCGCATAGACTTTGAAAATGTTTGAACAGCGTTGAGAAAGATAAAATAAAACGACAAAAATGATTTAGAAAAGGGAGATACACATTCAGTAGCGAGAAAACATAAAATTTAAGCTTGTGATAATCCAAGTTCAAAACAGTCTTTCATTTTTCAATGTAATGAGTAAACTAGATTATTATATTAAAAGAAAATGGAGCAATAAAAGCAAATGTCTTTGTTTTACAGGGAAAGTTTCGCGTTATAACCCGAAAGTTTCGCCTTATAACGCGAAACTTACGCCTTATAACGCGAAAAATATAATATTTTTTAACCTACAAAAATGATCTCAATGGGCTTTCGTACACATTAAATCTTATAAATGTCAGACTAAGAAATTTTTTGACTTGCAAAAAAAAAAAGTAAACAGATTCCTCAATCCTGAAAAACCTATGTCGTGTGAGTGTTTCGGGATCGGGGAGGGAGGGGTATTAGTAATCACATATCAGTGATCACTTATTAAATCTTAGCCTTGCTGTTCGTGAGAAGAAAATTTTTAACGAATTTTTTCATAAAGACACTGTATTCCCATGAAAAAGGATCCTTTATTGCGGCCCCACAATAACCCTCAGTACCATGATTTGAACAAACTTGAATCTACATTATCCGAGGATGCCTGCATATTAATATTACTAACCATTCTATTCTTGGGAAGATTTTAAAGATTTTATTCCTAAACTGCAACGTTACATATTCCCATGTGAAACTTTGTTCCGTTATTATGTCCCCACCCTATCCCGTGGGACATTGATTTGAACAAATTAGAATCTACACCTTGAACGTACACTACATGAGAGTGCTCGCATATTTATCCTATGATATAAATAATTACAGGGAAAACAAATACGCCCTAAATCAAGGATGTCTGAACATATGCTAAGAGAGATAACTCTAAAATTGAGAAATCACCATATTCATTGACCCTTTGTAAAGAGAGGTAACTCTCACTGGGATACCTGACTATTAATTGTAAAGCTGGGAGACTGACAATTGTAAAGCTGGGATTTCTTTCGGAAATCTATAGGCATTGATCTAAATTCTTATTGAAGGGTGCAGAACCTAAATATCAACTTCCATTCTCTGTAAAAAAAAAAAAATTGGAGGAAACGAAAGGTTCACCACAAAGCTCACTTGGGACATCTTGGGAGAACGTAAAAATATGTTATAAGCGAAAATTCTTCTCGTTAAACACGATTTTTTTTTCACTCGTACTTCGCAGTCATCAGAATAAGAAAATTTATTTGAAGTCGGATTTAATGTTTTCTGATTCTAGTGACTGCGAAGTCCGAATAAAAGAAAGTAACAACAACAGCAACAAAATCCTATTCATTAATTTTCTTTGTATTACATTTCCGATTTTCCCTTTCACTATAATGGCTAACTAAGAAGCTCTGTTATTTTCACAATTTGAAAATAGCACCTGTTTTTATTCACAGTCTTTAAAATATCAATTTTTTTCAATGGATAAATTTAAAGAAGTTATTTTCAAAGGGTAGCAGGACGTCGTTGGACTATACTGATTTGCAAACATAAAGTGACTGAAAAAAAAATACAATGTATTCTTTAAAATTTTGTCCAGGTCGATCGTGATATAACTTCCAATCCAGCCGCGTGGACAAAACATTGAATATCGATCCTCTACATCTTGCAGTTTACAAAAGATATTAAAAAGTAAACAATTGTTGATTTATTAACACAGTTTATGCACCAAATCCTGATTGAAATAAAACCCATCCCGATTAACATTAATGCAAACAATTCAAATCAATCGATAATTTACTGTCTATCTGATACATTTGCCTAAAGGAATTCAATTTCTTTATAATTTCAATTAATTTGTAAATTGTAAAACTAATAAATTTAATACTTTTGTGACATTGTTAAAGATTTCCTTTCTATATAATTCCAGTCTACACCAGTTTAATCTAGATCTGGTAGGTTCAAAGATAAAAAATTGAATCTTTTTTTTTTTTTTTTTTTTTTTTTTTTTTTTTTTTTTGATTTTGCAATTCATTTTAATTTAATTATTTTTTTTTTTCAAAAAGTAAAATGTTTCTTGAATTTTTATTTATACAGTTAAAAGAAAAACTCCGATTTTTTCGACAAATATTTTTTGTTTAAAAAAAAATGTCTTTAATTCCCGAGTTTTTTTTTTACATGTCCTATTAGATGTTTAAATTATGCATTAATTAACAGCAAACTATAAAGTCCAAAGTGTCTGGTTTGCAGCTAAAACAACTTTTCACTTTTTTTCCCCTGAAAATCAAAAACAAAGGTTAACCTTACCCTAAACCAAAAAAACAAAATAATCATTTTAGATATAATGAAGAGCTAATATTGGATTTCAAATATTTAAAAGAGATACTTTAATCATCCATTCAATGCAATTTTGGTGTGTCATACCTCCTACCTGTAATTTTTTTTTTACCCCGAAACACCACTCTTGCCTTTAGTGGTTTACGATTCTTTTGCGGTCCTTTTGGTATTATTATCATGTATATGTAGATAGATTTGCAATTGACGTCACCGTACTTAGTGATTACCAAATTAATTAACTCGAAAGTCATCGACCGCTGGCTCAAACTAGACTTCAAGCCGAATGTATGTACGTGTAAACATAAACGTTCATTTGTCAAATTTTTGAAATTATGGAAGAAGTCCTTTAAGCATCAGATTAGGGACTTCTGAAAAATCAGAGGTGGGTTGGGGCCATCGACCTGTCAAAGTAAGAACAAAAATGAATGTCTGTCAATTGAATATATGTCGCCAATATATTTTAATGTCAAATTGAAAGCTTGAGCAAGACTTCTTCTGCTCATGTAGAAGATTTCGAATAAATTCTCGTCATAAGAGTACAAAACAGGTCTGTTGAATTAGTACAATTAGTACCCATGCGAATTCCAACAGATAGATGAAAGACAGTCTTCAAACACTACATATAGGTAGTTATTGTCAAAGAAGAACTCAGACATCTTTTTAATATCATATTCAGAGTATTTGTCTGGAATCATAATGGTATGTCAATCAGAATCAGAATTATATTAAGTAAAATAAGATTGTAGATCAATCATCCAATCAGGACATGAAAATTAACGTATATGTTGATGAATCAGTGTACCTCAACAATTAAAAATATACCATTCGTCTATCGCAATTAAAGGGTCCAGTCCATATCCTCTATACGTCCATAGTGTAAAAATGAGTAATTGCCAAAAATTAAGATTCTGACCCCCTGCACTGGGCCAAGGGGAGGATTTCATAACATATTTGGAATGGATCGTAAGAAGTTGCATTCTGTCAGTTGTTAAAATTACAAAGGGGATTTATGAAAGCATTTTTCCGGATATCCATACCCTTCGAACTTTGGCCGGTATAGATTCCTCTTAATAGGCAGGCCACACAATCTAGAAGTCATTCGAAAGGGAAAACTCAATAGGTGACAAAGAAAAGAGAAAGAGGAAAGGAGGAAAATTGCACCCTAAAAGAAAAACATTAAAAGAAGAAAGAAGTCTTTCGCGCATACTTTTCGTCCGCCTGACCCCTGCGCCGTGACCTTTAAACACTGTAGGATCGATCCCGATCTTCATGCTGTAGTACAATTAACATACATTTTTTAAATGCAGACCTTTTTTTTATGACAAAGTGATTTATATTCTTTTCATGATTTCTTTTCCAGACCCCCCCCCCCCCTTCCTTTCCCATCTGATGAACATTCTTTTCAATCTTCGGCCGTCGTAAGGAAATCCAGTACGTGCCTCTTGGTGACAATACCAATTTTATAATTTATGCATATGAAGTAAAATTTAAAAGGTTTCACAAAAACATGTTTTACCATAAACAAAAATATTACCATTAATATTTAATATATTTAATATTCATTTGAAGGTAAAGCTACCATGTAATTAATTTATTAAGTCAGCCATATCTTAACCACAACTGAAAAGCCGTCACATAACGATTTTTTCCCGATACAAGGAAACATTGAAGAACTACAGAGGATGTAATATATTTCCGGCCTTGGTGATAAAGCACTGGACTTTACCCTCTGGAATAAACGTTCATGTATAACCAGTGCTAAAATGTTCACATTCAGAAAAGTTTATCCTTTAATAACATTTCTAACAAATTCTAGCGAGCTAGTCAGGTAAATGAAAGAAGACAGTGCTAAAAGCCAACGTCTTGCAGATAAACTCATTCATTGTAAAACATGAATGATATTACATGTAATACTCATTAATACATGTACAATGTCATGTACATATAACACATAAAATAAATATTTTCCTAACAAAAACAGTTCAGTTTTTAAACATAAAATTATTTTTGCAATTCCTAGACAATGTCTGTAACATAAAGTCAACTTGACTGCAGTAAAGTACACCACGTCATTTATGAGAGAACGGCCTCACGCGAGACCGATTCTCTGTTGGATGTCGACTGCTAATGGCTGCCGACAACACCCTTTGTGGAAGAGCAGTGTGTTTGAAGACTCTATCTGAAGGCCGGAAGTCATTACCGGAAGATACAGGTCTTACTTGTGGCGAGGAAGAGTAATGAGTCTCTAGAGTGGAAGTTTTCTTCCTCTGAACCACGGGAACGTCCGTTTGTCGTAAAAAGTTGGATCGCATTACTCGGCGATTCAGCAGTTCATTATTTTGTCCCAAGAACTGTCCTACTTTCATTTCAATGTTGTTGTAGTTTTCTTTTTCAGTGCGCTTCCAGTTGTTTACAAGACCGTTGTAAAATTTATTCCTGTCGTTGATTTCGTCTGGATCGAAGTACCTACATTCTGAAGCTTTGGTACCTAATCTGCCGGCAGAGCGACATCTATCAAGAAGAGACTTATCTTCCATCAGCGCACGCGCCGTTGCTGGTCTCAAGTCTATTTTAGATTTTGTCTGATCTGACACAAGGGATGGATCTATTTCTACCTGCGGGTCATTTAGCTCAAGTTTCGGTTTGAAAAAGTTTGACACCTTATTTCTCAAAGAAGATGGTGGTCCGGTTTTTGGTCGGGCTTGTGATTTGACAGAAACCGGAACGGTAGGCATGCCAAAATCCGCGTCTTCCTGTGGTTCCTCTATCTTTGTCCTTGACCTTTGTATTTCTCTCTGCCTATCTCGGATCTTTTTCAGCCGTTTTTTCATTTCTTTCTGACATCGTTTGATGTCGGCTACGGAGTTGTGTTTTTCTATTTTAATCGTTGATAACTCCTTCTGTAAAACTTTTTCATCCCTTTTCCGCGCCAGAACAATAGCGATTTCCTGATTATCTATGGTCATAATTGTACCTGTAAAAATATCATGAGCTCACCATAAAACCAATCATAGAAACTGTGAAATTTTTAATGATTTTAGTATCAAGCAAGTTCATTTAAATATCTCAGATTCACGTTCACTTTGGTTTTCAGTGATGCATATCGATAAAGTAATTCGTCAACTGTTTGAATTTAATTGAAAACGATTTAAATGCTGCTTTTGTGTTCGTTAAAAATCAATTAATGTCATATCTAGTCCTTTTTTTAATTATAAGAGGCATGTATTCTGTTATCAAAATCACCTTGAAGTTTGATTGTGTGCCTTTATTTACGCTGACTAATATCGTCACAAAATATTGCATAAAGAGTGAAAAGTTTCTACGAGGCATTGTTACAATACCTGTGGTTTTCTTTTATCGCGTAGAATGGCTGTTACTCAGAGGGGAGCTTTTTTGACTCGAAATGTTAATTACATTTTGGCACTGGATATTATCACATTCAATATCATTTAATGCAAGGATCAACTCTTTATAAAGAGTTCTTGGCTAGATTTCTAAATAGAATATAAGAATTCTGAAGATTAATATATATTGTAAGCACTATCCTATCTGAGAAATTTTTGCAATATTATTTTTATAGCTTTTTTTTTATCTTTTTTTTTTTTTTTTTTTTTTTTTTTTTTTTTGTCTAATAACGCATGCATATAACATTTATTATTTAAAATGATGTATTTTCTATATTTTCTTAAAAGAAATTTAAAAAAATCATTTATAACGAATCTTTTTGTAATAAGATTTTACAGATTACCAAAAGGGAACAATTTTACAATATTTATTGTTTTAAATATCATGATGACATTTTAATATAATTACATGATACTAAGGGTTTACAAAATTATTTGGAAAATTCCATGCGAAATGTACTTACTTTTCCTGTTGAAAACTTTCTATACTTCACATTTCCAGTATTTTTTGTGTATCGCTGCGTTTATTTATGTATATACAACTCTATGAGAGCGGATTTGTCCGTTAAGTACTCGTGAAGGTACACGTAAAAGTCATCTTTTGTTCCTCCATAGGAGAAATCCAATGATCCCCGTGTAACCCCGTACAATGTGTGAACGGGGGACACGTACTCCTGTACCCCAATACAATGATATCTGTCCCTTCTAACACCGCTGAAAACCCGCTGATTGGACTACTATGTCAAACAATGCAGGAACACCTACTGAATAGATCTATTATAATCCTTAAATAGAAAAATTTGAAATAGCAATGAGTATGGAGTGATCGCTCAATAGTGAGGTACGTAGCGGATCACTGCTGACGAAGTCCTATCTACAATGATCAGTTCCTCACAAGGATTAAACCTCCCGTCCCAGAGTGCGGCATTTCTTGACAAATATTTAATACAACTTGCACGAGTCTGTTCCTTAACACAGGCCGTGGCAAATATTTAAACGGATGTGGTATCAATTACGCCAATCTATAGAACAAATACAGACATTTTACTCCGGGAGCACGTGCCAGACAAATCTTTTAAATATTTAAAACAAACATCGCTATAATACTGAATCCGTGCATGGAGGTCTTAGTTACAATAGCATGATTCAATTTCAAACATGCAGATTAATGGATTCAATTGTTGACAATGATTTGTTTGGATGTTGCAAAGTATACCCTTGTGGTTGGAAACATCCATATTTCTAATTTTGTAACTTTTCATTAACTGTATACACTTTGTTGATGATGTCAGGGTAAATATTTTGCATGTGCAAATATTTTAAACAATTCCAATATAAAGGGAAATTTGTGATCTTGTTAAAACGCCTAACCCTCCATTCAATAGAATATCAAAATGTTCTATGTATAAATTGATATCGGCTTTTAAATAGCAGAAGAAAAACTTATGCATGTGTTAAACATAATCATTCTGGATTTTAATTAATATCCAGAGATATTGCAAATCTGTATAGACCCCAGGAAGACTGTTTAATGTAGACAAAGTAAACAATTCTTACTAATGGAATTGTTTGTTTTCCCTCTATGATAGCCGCGATCAGTTGTCTATAGAGCCATTATCACAATATGTCATTGTGTACAGTCTCAGATTAATGTTGGGTTTTCTTATATTGCCTGTTTTCTCAATACTTTACATATGCTTAAATGCTTAATTTCAAGTTTAAGTAAGAAAATTCCTATTATGAAGCTGAATTGATCCTACGACATACGCAACAAGAGATCAATATTAAAAGTACCTCTGTATCTAAAACTCTTGTGTGTGGCTTTAAATTCATGTGTACTCTTTGTAATTTAACAAAAGTTTAAAAACAATGACAAATACCTAGAAGTCCTTGGTTATTTTGAAAACTAAATAAAGCTATAATTTAGCTATTTATTGTATTCTTTAATGTAATGCCCTTTGGTTCTTTTTCAACTCTTCTCCAAAACGTTATTGAAACTTTTTTATATAATTGTAAAAAACCTATGATAATATATTTAAAGTAAAATATAAATACCAAAATCAGGAAAATATCACATTACTTAGTGTACGTATAGCAAAAAAAAAAGCATTTCCTACATATGGAGTCCATGTTTCCTGCGATTCGAATCAAACAGAATGTCAGATTTAAACCATTTTCCATGTACAAAGCTACAATGCAAAAACGATGCAACTGACGAGTAAATCCTGAATAAATGGGTACAGAATGCCAATCTACTGGACTGAGCAACATTGAGCATATTTCTTCTTCCGCTTCCGGACCCGGAACTTGTATTTTCCGCCCCGCATCGAGGTCCTCAGTTGACCCACAGGTTTGAACTTTTCCGGAATTCTTGTGACGTTTTCAACTTTATACGGTAAAGCTGATTTTTTCACTGCTAATACTTCCGGTGGTCTTAACATGTGTGGGTGATAACTTTTCATCTGTATAAAAAAAATCCATATTTAGCCATTCAATTCTTTTCTTTCTAATTATGCTAACTGACGTGATCAGTGTGTAACGCGAACAGAATATAATATATATTTTTACAACAATTCAGATGTTGATCAGTAAAATACATGTAAAGTAAAACAAAGCCTGCAAATGTCTCTGCTTAATTTTATTCAATTATATTTTTAAAATCAAAGATAGTTATGGGGGATCAAATTGCTTTTGATTTGTCTGTTTGTCGCCCTGTCTCCAACTCTAATCAACATGAGTCTTCATACTTGACATAGACTGATGAAGATTGATTTTCTATGCACCTAAGGCCAAATAAAAAAATATGTGTGGTTCCGGTTACACCACCAAAAAAATTAGGGTAGGTAGGTAGGGATTTTTTTTTTTTTTAAATGATTTTTTTTTAAATTTTTCTAAATAATACCTATCACTGCTTTGCAAGTGGCATTTAGATGTGGTGTGATAAAATACTAGTCAATATTGGTAGGGGACACCTACGTGCTAGCTTGCTTTGGATTTAAAACTATTAAACACTTGCACTATGTTTTGCAAGGAGGCCGTCGTTGCTGAAACTAAAACTTAAACCGAAGCTATTGATGGAAATTGGGGAAAATTCCGAAAAAAAATATATGAAAATTGCCAAAAAAAAAAAGCTTAGGGTCGGGGGTATAAAATAGGGACGGTCGGGTAACCGGAACCACGCATATTTTTTTATTTGGCCTAATGTATTCAATATGCATGCATTTCTACATTGTAACCAACAATATTTCCTTTTTGCATGTACAAGTCGTTTCAATAATAATTGTAAAGTTTTGAACAGAATGATTGTGAATACATTTCACAAGGAGCCTCTTACAATTTTTTTTTTCAAAATCTTGCACTGCGACTTACCACTTGTGGATTACAAATTTCTGTCACGTGATATGCTAATTTCTGAAAGGCAGCAAAAACATTGGTCCCTGTTTTAGCGCTGGTTTCGAAATAATCAAAAGCCATCTCTTTGTTTGCGAACTGAAGAAAAGATAAAGATACCTTTGCAGACGCATTTTATTTCAAAAAGCGATCGATCGATTTTTACAATTACCTTATAGTCCTTTAAGATTACCATAGTTGTTTATCACCAAATTGCAAATTGTTTGTGAAGGTGAAACAAACTTGAAACGTGAATTATCTAGGACTTTTTTAATATTAAAAGCTTTTAATGGACAAAGGGCAAAACCAGAAAAAATCCTGGAATTTCATGAAGGAAAAAAATGGCAACAATGAACATCAGAGCTAGTAGGAAAAAAATAATAACAAATTTCGCTTTGTTACCACTGCCTCTGCCTCTTTTGCATGAAATTTGCCTGAAACGTATCTACAATTCATTATACTCTAGCAAGAATCGATTTGTGCCTAAATTTGTTAAGGAAGTAAACAAAGGAGTTTTATCATAGGGTATATATATACTAGTATTACATATTTCTGTCAAATATTTTCTGAAAAAAAATTGTATTTAAATCAATTCCAATGATAAACACCGCAAACATATTGACCATATGATTGATTCATTGTAACAATTAGTAAACGATTCACTGTTAAGGTAATCAATATTTAATTTGGTGTCTCTTTTATAGTTGTATAACACTGAAAACATAATCGATACGCTTGTTACCTTTTTAGCTTCAGAAATTGACACCATTCTGCGCTCTTTGAGGTCGGCTTTGTTTCCAATCAGGATTATCGGCACTGATTCATAATTACACACAAAATTCGAGACGCACTATTGAATAATTGAGACAGATGAAGATTGATATTAATAACATGCTACCATCGGGAAATACAAAGATCACATTAAACGATATGTTTAAAATAATCATGACCATATACATGCAGACCTTAATAAACTTTACTGAAATCTTAAAATTACTTTGAATTTGTTACGCCTTTTATTAATCACCAACTGATTGACTGATGTACATGTATATTGATAATTCCTAATTCATGTAGTAAATTTTCTCTGTTAATCTATTGATGAACTTTGGTTGTGGATTAATGGAATCCTTACGTTGTTGATGCTTTCCAGCCAGAAAGAGAGATGTGTAAACGTGGACCTGTCTGAAATATCGAACACCACAGCGATCCCCTGAAACACAGTGTTATAATACTGAAATATTATATAAATGCTGTATGTAGTTGAGTGTAACATTGAAAATCCCCCCCCCCCCCGAAAAAACCCAATTGGTTTTCGAGGGGTGAAAATTTTCAATGTTACACTCAACTACATGCAGTATTTCTTATATTATACTGAATGTTTTATGCAAATACATATTACTGTAAACCTGAAAAATGGTTTTAATACAGTACAATAGACAAATCGAATTGTGAAGGGCAAGAACACGACCCCTGGAAACACCAGAGGTGGGATCAGGTACCAAATAGGAGAAAGTATCTCCTGTTGACCGGTCACATCCGAGGTGAACACTCTATATTGATCAGATAGACGGAGTACTTCTAAGTCAAATTTAGTATAAAAGCAATGACCTAACAAATGATATGAAACATGTCAGGCAAAATACAACATAAGGATAGGTTGTATTTACAAACAAGGTTGTTGCCCAACATCACAAAAATATATTCTAATAAACATAAAGTAGTCACGTGACTGTAATGTCCAGCATCACAAAAATATCCTAATATACATAAAATAGTCACGTGACTGTAATGTCTAACATCACAGTGATAACCGTGCATATACACACACAAAAAGCTCATGGACCTTGGTGGACATATTAGTATCGCGAATTTCTCAGGATATGACCAGAAATGTGACAATTTCAGTATGTTGAAGACTTTATGCTCATATCATATTCATGCAGGGTTAGGGTTAGAAGAGGTTCAGAAGAAAAAAAATATGATGGAAAAACTTTTTAAAAAAAATTGTTTGTGCAGAAAACATACTTTATCATTTAGTTTACTCCATTAAATAAAACTTTTTTCGCCCACTGTGGCCCCACCCTACCCCTCGGAGGTCATTGATCACCCACAGTGGCTTTACCCTAACCCCGGGGGTCATGATTTGAACAAACTTGAATCTACGCTACCTGGGGATGCTTCCATATAAATATGACCAATCAAGGCTTTGCTGTTCTTGAGAAAAAGATTTTTAAAGATGTTCCCTATGTATTCCTATGTAAAACTTTGATCGCCCACAGTGGCCCCACCCTACCCCCGGGGGTCATGATTTGAACAAACTTAAATCTACACTACTTGAGGATGCTTCCATATAAATGTGACCAATCATGGGTTTGTTGTTCTTGAGAAGAAGATTTTTAAAGATTTTCCCTATGTATTCCTATGTAAAACTTTGATCGCCCACTGTGGCCCCACCCTACCCCCGGGGTCATGATTTGAAAAAAAAATTGAATCTACACTACCTGAGGTTGCTTCCACTTAAGTTTCATATTTTCCAGCACAGGGGTTATTGAGAAGAAGATTTTTAATAGTGCCATAATTTTTTCACCAATTTGCATTATCTCCCCTTGGAAGAAGGCGTGGCCCTTCATTTAAACATACTTGAATCCCCTTTACCCAAGAATACTTTGTGGCAAGTTTGGTTGAAATTGGCCCGGTTGTTCTTGAGAAGAAGATGAAAATGTGAAAAGTTTACAACGACAACGGACAAATTTCGATCAGGAAAGCTCACCTCAGCCTTCGGCTCAGGTGAGCTGAAAACGTAAAATCAGAGAACCAGAGAGAACAAGAGAAGTGAATGTCCCTTGAAAATCCTATAACCCTGTAATCTGATTCAGTTTTGTACCTCTTTTTTCCCGAGTTTCATCAATTGTACTTATATTTTTGTAAACTTGGTGTTTTGAATTTAAGGTATTGGTGCTTCTGGGCTTTTTCATGCATCTGCAGTGGTTTTCAATATTACAGATACCTGTGAAAATCTTAGAAATGTACCGGTACTATAAGATACTTGCAAAAGCAAAATGAAGTGTTGAAAAGGCATCTGAGACACGAATTAAAGAGAGGTAACTCTAACCTGACGTATCTATGTGAGGACTATCTACGGTAAATGAATAGCTGATAACCGAGTCTGTGAACATTACGTTAATGCTAATTACTAGAAACTGTTACAATGCAGATTAATGGAATACAGTGGATCAAGCTGACTGAATATCAGACACTGACAGTTTTATGGCATGATTAATTGAATCCAATATACTAATGTTGTCCTCAGTAACCTAATTACAAATAGAATATGCTGTGGGCAATGGAATTTCTTTTCATTTCAACATGGATGAGTTACAAAAACATGGAACTCTTATTTTTTCCTTTACTCTTTATTTTGCTGTCTTGTTTTCTTTATTAAGTTGTCCTACTTACATTAATTTCATCTAATCTTTACAGATGTTTTATTTGATTTTTCAGTAGAATTACTGTTGTCAGTTTTCTCTTGTTGTCAGTTGTCAGTTTTCTCTTGTTGTCAGTTTTCTCTTGTTGTCAGTTTCCTCTTGTTGTCAGTTGTCAGTTTTCTCTTGTTGTCAGTTGTCAGTTTTCTCTTGTTGGCCAAACTTAATACTTTTATGCTTGCTGTTGACTCGACTTTTATACTTTGTCAACCTCTTTATTATGTGGTATTTCCCTGTCTTCTTTCCATTATCAGCTGACCTTGATCTCTTTCCGCTGTTATCTTTTAATGTCTTTCTACTTAATCTTTTATACTTCTTTCTTATTGTTCTATTGTCAAACCTTGACTAATTGTACTGCTTTCTTGTCTTTTTGTCTAACCTTGACTTCTTTGTACTGTTGTTGTGTACCATTGTCTGATCTTGACTTCTTTGTACTGTTGTTGTGTACCATTGTCTGATCTTGACTTCTTTGTACTGTTGTCGTGTACCATTGTCTGATCTTGACTTCTTTGTACTGTTGTCGTGTACCATTGTCTGATCTTGACTTCTTTGTACTGTTGTTGTGTCCTACTGTATCACTTTGACTTTTTTTGTACTGCTGTCATTTCCTCTTGTCTTTACTTGACTACTTTGTACTATTGTCATGCCCTACTGTCCTACCTTGACTTCTCTATACTGTTGGCATGCCCTCTTTTCTTTGCTAAACTTCTTTGTACTGCTTTGTTTCCTATTGACTTTTTGACTTCTTTGTACTGCTGTCGTGTCCTGTTTTCTTTACTTGACTTCTTTGTACTGCTGTCGTGTCCTGTTTTCTTTACCTGACTTCTTTGTACTGCTGTCATGTCCTGTTTTCTTTACTTGACTTCTTTGTACTGCTGTCGTGTCCTGTTTTCTTTACTTGACTTCTTTGTACTGCTGTCATTTCCTTTTATCTATACTTGACTACTTTGTTAAACTGTCATGTTGTATTGTCCTACCTTGACTTCTTTGAACTGCTGCCATGTCCTCTTAATAATTGTCTTACTTTGACTTCTTTGTACTGCTGCCATGTCCTTTTGTTGCACCCTGACTTCTTTGTACTGTTGTGTCTTATTCTCTTACCTTGACCTCTTGGTACTGCTATCTGACTTTGACCTGTTGTCTTACCTTGACTTCTTAGTATACTTCTACCTGACCTTGACCTGTTATCTTACCTTGACCTCTTTGTACTGTTGTCTTGTCATGGACATAAACCTTTTCTGACCAGCACTGTCCCTGTATTACAAATTAATACAAGTTTCATTTTCCTGCTTCAAAATAATGCAAAAATGAAAAATGAAATGCTGAGTAAAATGATCACTTCTTGTAAACAATTTTTAATGAGCATTGTATGTATTTATCTGTTTTCTTCAATGTTCATTTATCTTTATGCGGTTTGAAGTATTCAGGGTTAATCATTTTGACCAAAAATAAATAATATTCATTTCGCATTTATTTCTTTGCATGGATGTTCAATTCAACATCCACTTCTTACTTTGTTCAATTATTGTTAACCCATGCCTATATGCCTACATATACTCTGCAGACTCACCGATTCTTTATCGAAGTCAGTACAATACTCACTAGATATTAAACAAGGACAATATTCACTATATAACTCTAAACAGTCCCATGTTCCCCATGTCATCATTGATCAATTATTGCTAAAACTCAAATAATACAACCTATACCAATCACATCCTCATCAAAATCAACTCTTTACACAAATCCTCATCATCAACCTTTAGGTCAGTATTGTATTGTACCAATCAGATCCTCGTCTATGTCAGTGCTACACCAATCAAATCCTTCTTTACGTCAGTACTATACCAATCAAATCATCATCTTATAAGTCGGTTCTACACCAATCAGATCATCCTCTAAGTCAATACTACAACAACCAGATCATCCTCTAAGCAACCAGATAATGATATTTGTCAATACTACAACAACCAAATCATCACCTAAGTCAGTTCTATACCCATCAAATTATACTATACGTTGTAGGGATGGGTATCGGCAAAAATTTCGTATCGTGATATATCACGATTTTTTCCCAAAAATATCACAATAAATCGTGATATTTTTACACACAATTTTTACTACAATTTCAAAAGAATTTCCATAATATTTCTTTAAAATATGCTCTAAAACATAACTTAACCTTTTAATTTCTTTATTTATTTAATGTAAACATGTTTGGATGCCGTTGTTTAACTGTTTTCAACATTTTTTTACATTCCCTTTAATTGTCATTCAATAGTTTGAACAAATAAATGAATAATTTCCGGAATTTATAATTATGTACCAAATACCGGTACTTAAGTCTCCGTATCACGATACGTATCACGCAATAAAAAATCGCGATATACCGGTATACCGATAAAATCGCACATCCCTAATACGTTGGTACTTATCTATACCAACCAGATCATCCTCTAAATCAGTAATATATACCAGTAATCTAATTATTAATGTCAGTAATAAACCAAATAGATCATCATGTAAGTTAGAACTATGAAATCATCATGTCAGTCAGTGCTGTACTGTCAGTAAGTTCTCAGCTATACTCACCAGAATATCCTATCAGTCAGTGCTATACTATAAATCAGCACACCATCACCAGATCATCATCTGGATCAGAGCTCCATATACTCACCGGATCATCATCTGGATCAGAGCCCCATATACTCACTAGATCATCATCTGGATCAGAGCTCCATATACTCACCGGATCATCATCTGGATCAGAGCCCCATATACTCACCAGATCATCATCATCTGGATCAGAGCCATATACTCACCAGATCATCATCTAGATCAGAGCCCCATATACTCACTAGATCATCATCTGGATCAGAGCTCCATATACTCACCAGATCATCATCTAGATCAGAGCTCCATATACTCACCAGATCATCATCTGGATCAGAGCCATATACTCATCATCTGGATCAGAGCCATATACTCACCAGTTCATCATCTAGATCAGAGCCCCATATACTCACTAGACCATCATCTGGATCAGAGCTTCATATACTCACTAGATCATCATCTGGATCAGAGCCCCATATACTCACCAGATCATCATCTGGATCAGAGCTCCATATACTCACTAGATCATCATCTGGATCAGAGCTCCATATACTCACTAGACCATCATCTGGATCAGAGCCCCATATACTCACCGGATCATCATGTGGATCAGAGCTCCATATACTCACCGAATCATCATCTGGATCAAAGCTTCATATACTCACCAGATCATCATCTGGATCAGAGCTCCATCGACCTCAAACGGTTTTGTCACAAAATCCACGGCTGTTGAGAAAAAAGTGAATGATTTTGGAAATATATCATAAATTCACAACGTCTGACAATTAATAAGAAATTAATCATCAGATATTATATAATTACATATCAGTAATGATATATATACATCAGCTAATATTGGATATTTTAATATAATTAATGTATTATGGTTCCCTTTATCAGTTCGTATATGATAATTGTTTTTTACCTACTGTGGGTCGCAATTGTGGGGAAAACTCGTATCCCATCAGACATCTTAGCAACGCTGTCTTGCCGACGTATGCGTCACCAGCGATCAAAACTTTGTAGGTGGCAGCACAGTCGTTCTCAGAAAGAGGCATCACAATGACTGCTTCATCGTCAACTGTTTAGAGATATAATAGCATTATAGATTTCCACCAACTGGATAGTGGTTGAGTCACCTGTTTGAAAAGCAGACTGGAACTTATATAGTTTTTTATTTTCAAATATATATATTTGTGTAGATGCTTGACAATAATTTTTTCTAATAATTTGCAAACAACAGATATTACTGATATTGGTCTATAGTTATTGACATCGTCTGCATTTTCTTTTTTTTTTTTTTATAAACTGGTGTAACCTGGGCAATTTTCCAAATGTTAGGAAGTGTTCCATTGTTAAGTGATATGTTAAATAATTTTGTCAGAGGCTTGTAGATTGATTGTGCAATATGTTTTAAAATTCGAGGTGAAACACCATCAGGACCTGATGGCTTACATTTATTAATGATTTGTAACTGGTCTAGTACTTTATCTTTAATTCAAAATGTTTCCATATGGTGTAAGGGGGGACCTGGTCCCTGGGGTGGTAAATCAGGTTCATTACTAATGCAATAGATATCTGAAAAGAATTTGTTTATGGCATTAGCTTTGTCTATAGGATGAAATAGTGTTTGACCATCCACCTTAAGAGGAGGTGTTGGCTTATGTTTATTGTTTAGTTTGGATAATGATTTTACAATTCTCCACCATTTTCCAGGTGGTATTGATTTATTAATCTGTGCTGTTAATTTTTTTGTTTTTTCCAATCTTGATAAAGGCCGGAATGTAGGATTTGTGTTTTGTGATATTTCTAAAGCCTTTGATAGGGTCTGGCATGAAGGAATCATCTAAATTGAGGGAAATTGGAATATCAGATCAAATTTTAAACTTGGTTAAAAAATTACTTAGTGAACAGAAAACAAAGGGTGGTCCTTGATGGTCATGCATCAACTCTTGGATCAACTAGTTCAGGTGTCCCTCAAGGATCTGTTCTAGGACCTTTCTTATTCATATTATATACATGTATTATATATTAATGATATTTTTTTCAAATTTAACAAATAATGTTCGACTATTTGCTTAAATGATACTTCACTCTACATTATTGATGACAATGATATAGTCAGTGCTGCAAACTCATTGACAAATGACTTAGAGAAGTTGGATCAGTGGTCAAAACAATGGATAGTTGAACAGAAAACAGTGAATGTAAATTTTTCCAGAAAAAATATTTCTCATCCTAATGTTAAATTTGGCATAAATGGCCCAATTATTGAACCATCTAACAATCGCACACATTTAGGACTAAATTTTCAGTGTGATGCCAACTGGAAATCTCACATACAAATTACGTATGAAAAAGCGTGTAAACGTTTAAATATTCTACGAATGTTAAAACATTCTCTTTGTCGAGACGCGTTAATAAAAATATATACATGCATGTCATTTATTAGACCAGTCTTAGAAAATGGTGATGTTGTTTTGGATAATTGTAATGAAAGGGAATCATCTTTATTAGAAGTTCAAATTACTGCTGCAAGAATTATTACAGGAATGAGAGTGAACTCATCAAGAACACTTTCATATGATGAACTGGGGTGGGATATACTATATGTCAGAAGGAAAGTGCATAAATCAATATTATTTTACAAGATAGTGTATGGGATAGCACCACAATACCTTCAAGATTTACTAAAACCTTGTATTCAACCCCGCACCCCATATTCCTTAAGAAACAATGATGGTCTTACTTTTCTTATTCCTCAAACTAGGACCACATCTATTTCCCATCTGCAGTTAAACTATGGAATAATTTACCATATCATATTGGAAATTTACCACCTCTATCTTCATTCACTAATACCATTAAAAAGGCTTATTACAGAACTCCCAATAAGCATTTTAATCATGGAAATCGTAATCAAAATATTATTCATTGTCAATTAAGAAATATTGCTAGTAGTTTAAATGCTGATTTACAGAAAGATTATATAAATGAAAGTTCCAAATGTGAAAACTGGTTTTCATACTGAAAATGCATATCATTTTTTCTTAGAGTGTCCATGTTATGTCGAGCAAAGAAATACTCTTTTTAATTGTATATCTAGTATAGACCTGCAACATCCCGTATCTCTTAATCTATTGTTATTTGGTGATAGTAATATTCCTTATGCAAAAAATATGAAATTGTATGATTGTGTTCATAAATATATTTCACAAGCCAAGAGGTGTCATAAATGATGTAAAATTATGAAATATTTGTTTCTTGTTTAAATCAAATACACATTCATTGTATTTTATATAAATTGCTGTGATTCCCTTTTTTCAGTTTTTTCTCTCATTTTCACATAAACCGGTATTCATTTCATTTTTTTCCACTCTTATTTTTTTCCCCTAAATTCCATTTAATTTTCTGTTACTTAACTATAACTTATTGGTGATGTGAACCTGTATTTATACGTAGAAATATATATATTTTAATTAACCTTGTACCTGTGGAGAGGGCTTATATAGGCTGAGCCTGCTGCCCAATCCAGTTATGTATTTATTACATAATAAAATATGTTCAAAACAAAAAAAAAACTGTTTAGAGATGGTTTAAAATTTATATTAACTTCCGAACATGCGAAATCTTGAATAAATTTTAACATAATTATTTTGTTTTCACGGTGAATTCATTACATAAATTATAAATCAAATTAAGATATTAAGAACAATTATTTGTAGAGTTTTGAAATTTCTACATACAGATTTACGTCCTGGTATTAATTGTTATTACATATGCAGGCGCAAGTAAATACTTGTATGTCAACTGCATTTTATCAAGTGATCTATAGCACTTTATGTCATTTTTTGAAAGTTTATTGACTTAATATAATTAACCAACGCATTCATCTTACAAACTTAACTAAAACTTTTATATGTGTAGAATGGGGGGGGGGGGGGTTACCGACATACGAGGGGTCTGTCTTTAGAGTGGAAGTTCAAGGTAATTTTTTTTCTTACCTTACTATTTAAATTAAATAACTCTGACAATCCTTTAGGATCAGAACCCACCTACCCCCCTCCGATCTGTGCATAATCTTTATTGGAATTTTAAACGTTACATATCCATGGATTTCAAATTTCGATGTATAAACATGTACGGATTTCTTTTGTTATTAATCTTTAACAATTACTCAGTTGATGATTATAACCTATTCGGACTAAATATGACATGTATTATATATATGCAGTGAATTCTTTTTCCTTTTTTAATAACTTCGATTTTACAAACTGGTTGCCTTATATAGTATTAAATGTGGGGGGAATGATAAATTACAGAGAAATGTGAACTCGAGAGCTGAGAATTTGATATTCACACGTTTATCAGCTGTTGCAGACCGATAGAATGTGTCCCCAAAACAAATTAACCTGTAATTGCATATTTATCTACACTTAATTCGCCTGACATTCGCACAAGTAATTTGAAGTGAAATATTTTGATATGGAACATGAACATGACGAAGCCACGCTGGCTTTACTTAGGATCAGATCAAAAGAATATATTTAAAATATATTTATTAATTTTCCTTAAAATTACGGTTTCGTACCAACCAAAACATACCATTATTTACACTCACCTTACAATTAGATTCATTTCGATATGGTCACTTCTCATCCAAAATTCAATGTGAATGAAGAACCTGAGATGGGAGTTGTCCGAGAAAAAAAAAGTCTGAGTGGAGGAGAATCTGAAGGAATGTTTGCACCTGTTTTCGGGGAATCCTAGCGAGTTCAGAGTTTTATACATACATCTATATCGGTATTTGTAAATTGTGGCCTCTGATTGTACACAGTTTATAATATCCAGCCCTCAGAATGGCGTGAGGTCGCATCCAAGTCAGTCATTACATTATCTACAGCTGTGTACAGCCAGCTAATGTAATTAATTTAAAAACTCTCCAAGAATGAGATTTTCAGAAACCCGGGTCATTCTCTGTTATCAGTGAACAGTGATGGTAAACCTGCAGTTTCAACTGTTTTGTTTCTTTATGATAAATCTAAACATCAGTCAGGGGAGAACCAGCGCACTTGTTGTTTCTTGTAAATAAGATAATATATATGTCAGAGGAATTGAAGGAAAACCAAACATTAAAACAACATAATTGTAGTTAGTTAATTTCCTGCGAAGGTTTAAATCTAATTTTTAGCCTTTTCCTATAAGACTTTATATCATATTAAATTTTGTATAATTCTATAATTATATATATGGTGTCATCGTTGACGGAAATCTACACTGATTAGTTTCTGTTGATATATTTAAGCGCTAATTATAAAAATAACCATTTGGCATGTCAAATGTTGCAATATTCGATCTTTTCCATATGTATTGTATAATTTTCCATTTGTAATGTATAACTTTCCATTTGTATTGTATAATTTTTATTTGTATTGTATAATTTTCCATTTGTATTGTAAAAGTTTCCATTTGTATTCTATAATTTTTCATTTGTATTCTATAAATTTTCATTTGCATTGTAAAATTTTTATTTGTATTCTATATTTTTCATTTGTATTCAATAATTCTCCATTTGTATTGTATAATTTTTTATTTGTATTGTATAATTTTTATTTGTATTCTATAATTTTCCATTTGTATTCTTTAATATTTCATTAATTTTATTGTATAATTTTTATTTGTATTGTATAATTTCTCATTTGTATTGTATGTTTTTAGTAGTTAGATCCTGGACCTCTACAAGAGCTAAATAGCGAGTTTCCCCAGATGATAACTGTTGTTTATAGAGGAAGCAGACGTATCATTAGGACAAATTCAGCGATGGAATATTCTTTCCAACCGCTGTGGAGACTGAAGTTCAATTTCCCTTCATGTCAGCATCTTGTGTGCGGAAGGTGTGGAAATGCGCAACCTAACGTTTTATGTTATGCATTTAACCAAAAGTGCTACCGATGCCATAGAATAGGACATTATTCTGGAATGTGTTTCACACAGTTGAAGGAACCAAAGACAAAATGTGTAGAGGAAACTAGACCTGCTGTTAGAAGTAAAAAGGTGCGAGACATTAAAGACGTACAACACACTGGGGGAGATAACTCTTGCGATTTCAATAAAACGTTTAACATAACGTTAAATTTGACGTTAATTACGAAGCGTCAAAATGACGAGCGATACGATCCCGATGTAATCAATGTAAAAAAAAAAATAGAATAGAGGTTTTTATTGTGGTTTCTTTAGGAATACCAAATCCTATCCTTGATCATTTGCGCAATTGCAATAACCCCCCCCCCCCCTTCCATAAAAAAAGACGGGTTCCTTAAACTTCTTTAATTTAAATTTAGTTCAATAATTCTTAAATATTGTATTTATGATTTACACAAAGGCATTTTTTTTAATCTAAAAATGTTTATGCTACTCTGTATTGCTTTTTCCCGTTACAATCGGCCGCATAACGTTGAGAATAAATATTACCGGTATATCTAAATATTATCATACATGTATTATGAAAATAAACGTTTCTTGCTTTTCTTTGAAAAAATAATTAAAAAGAGTAACCGTTTTCAGAAGGTCACTGATCAAAGAGAAACAACTCTAAAAATGTATGTCTTTCCTCCCCTTAGCTGAGTTATTCCTCCTGTTTTCCGAAGAATTATGGGTTTTTTCCCTCACAAATACACAGATACATTTACAGTGTGTTCCAAGGAACATAAGAATTGAAAGCCAAAGTTTATACAAATTAAAGTAAGTATAAAAGTGAAAAATTATTTACCTACAACGGTTGCACCCCATTGAGAAAATCTTTTACTGTAAACAGTTTCAGTTCGTATTTCCTCGAATAAAAACAAAACGATTGATACCAATGTAGATGATACCATAGTAGATGATTCAGGCACATGAATAATTTTAATATTGATAAATAATTTACAATTTGGTACAATTGAAGTTAATATGGACGACTACATCATTTCTATTTTATTTACTGAAACAACAGAAGGATACAATACCTCGGGGGGGGGGGGGGGCACCCCTCTCGTTTGAAAACAGAAATAATTTAAAACCTATATGTACATATATTCCAATTCATCACAAGAGAGTTGTACATATACCACTGTTCGTTCACTTAAAAAAATAATATTCAATGCAAGTAGAAGTCATATAAAGGTTTGAAACTGCACCTGCGTACATGAACTCCAAACCGGACACGTTTAGAGTAACCAAAAATATTAGTAGTCAATATTTAATCTGTATACACGAATGAAGGACATTACTTAAGGAGTTCAATATGCCAATTATAAAAAATTATGCAGACGTAACCGATATTTTTTTTTTCAAGCTCTAATGTCCTGCATCGCAGATAAGAATGGAGGGGGGGGGGGGTGTCTTAAAATTTCAGAAATACCTCATTCATCTTCATTTAAATCCAGATATAAAGTTTTATACTTGTGATAAATATAATTTTACATTTTAAGTAAAAGATATTTTCCAGCTAGGAATTTTTATTTGTATTTGTAGAATCGTAGCATTGCTTTCGTCCCAAGTCTGAAAGACGCTGTGAGAAACGTAACTTACAGAGAGAAGGGGAGGGGAGATTTTCCACTATAAATTCAAAACGCGTCGTTTAAAAAAAAATTTCAAAAAATTATTAAGAACATTTTGATCACCAGTTACAAGAAGTAATTATTTTTTTTTTCAAAATTAAACGACAGATTTTTTCATAAAAAAATATTTCATTTGAAAATCACGCATTTTTCAATGCAAAAATGAACTATTATAAGTTTTTCAGTTTAAATTCTTCAAAATCCTATTTCTCGAAGTGTACCTCTACAAAATCACTTTGTTTGTTTGTTTAATAGTTAAACGAACGATTCAGCAAATTTTGACCGCTGGGCTAACCTTAAATATTTTAAAATAAGGGATTTTATAGTTAGTTGGTTGAAATTTTTTTGTACTCGTGATCAGCCGAAGGGGGGTAACTTTAGGAACTTCCTGTCCAAATTCTGACCAAAATGTACATACACATAGTAGATATTATCATGTATAAGATATACAAAAATAGTGAAAATTAAACGACAGGAAATTTTTGGGGTAGGTGTGTTGTACATCCTTAAACGACTGCACAAATATCTTGAAAACAAACGGATTTTGAGAGAGTTACCGTTCAGTTCTCTTCGAGACAGTCACTTTCGTTCTTTGTGTGATACTTCGGGTACCGTACGAACTGAGCTGAAAAATCTTAATTTTCAACTATGCATGTCAAATAAAGAAAAGAAGATTATGGCGGTTAAATTAACAAAAGCCGAATCTGAAATAGGAAAACTTCGAAATCAAAATATGGTTTGAAAAAGGAAATGCAAGAGCAATCGAACAAGTCTGATGATAACCTCTATCGTGAGAAAATTCGCAAACTGGATGACGACGCGCACGGTGATAGAGTGATTATGGACTTAATGCAGAGGAAATTAAACGAGATCGGAAAGGAACATAATGAGTATGTAATGAAAATTCAGGCAGAAGCTGAGAAAACAAATAAACAGTTAAGGAAAGAAAACAACGCCCTGCTACAGACCATCCGAATATTGGAGGATGAAAGGGACCATCTGCTCGCCGTGTTTAGGGAAATAAGCGACAATTTCAACCGCGTAGACACCAAGGAAAACCAAGGAGAGGCAATTTCTACTAATTAACATTAAAAACACGAGGACGTGTTTACGCGAAGGCGAAGCATGTGTTATAGTGTAAAATATGACTTTTTTGAACTAAATATAAAATCATGTATAAATTAACATTTTGAACTTTGTGTAAATTGTTTTAAAAACTTTTCGGATATTTCTTCAAATGTGATAAATTCTATAAATTCCGCACAGCCTTTATCCCACCGAGGCACAGTCAGAGATGGTCACTTAATCTCTTAATTGATTTCTGTTTATATTTATTGACACTTAATCTTTCATCTATACTTTTATTCTATTATATAAATACCGCTAAAATGTCATCATTCGCTCAATAATTGTTTGATACTTGATTTCTTTATACTGTTTGTTAATCCTTTTATTTTACTCTTTCTTTGTTCAGTATGTATGTTTTATTATTAAAAATATATAGTCAGTTGGAATCAGACCTTCGGTGCTGATACATCCCAAACTCTTGTAAAAGTATATTCCATGCTGATTCTATATATAAAAGTTCTGAAACTATAACGCGTGTTGGCTTATTGGAGGTTTTATGAATCTGGGTTCAACAATAAGAGGAAAACTCAGGGTTGGCCCAGAATCAGAATCTGACGGACAAATTTAACTATACCGTAAAAAAACTCTAAGCTTTCGCTTGGTAACCTGTACATATTTACTTTTATCAAACGATGAGTTTTCGCTGGGTAACTTTTACTCATTTACTTTGAGTAAACGGCTAAATTTTTGTATGTACATGTATATACTTTCAGTAAACTCTCAGTTTTCACTCTGCATCTTTTGAACGTTCGCTTTAGGTATATACCCTCAGTTTTCATGCTGTAATTTTTATACTTTTTCTAAATACGTATAGACTCTCAGCTTTAACTCAGTCTGTAACTATTAACCAGCAGATATTGACCTGTAGCTTTTCTCACATTTTTTTAAAGTTAAAACTTTTAGAGTTCCTGCTGTAATTTTTACAAAGGACAAGGTATGGTAACGGCCGAATCTAACCCCTTATTTGATGTAATAATCAGAACACAGTTAAAATTATAATAGTTTGCAGTTAAGAACTTAAAATGATGCTTGTTTTAAAACCAGCACTAATTTTGGTTCAAAGCTTACATGGAGGCCACAAGAGGGTGCAGAATTAGGACATTATTTCGAATTTCCTCAATTCTGGTGAAATTTTGTCAAATTTGAGATACTTTTCACTTCGGGAAACATATAGCACACGCTTGCCTATCTGAGATTTTTATACATAAGATGCATCTGATACTAGTGTATAAAATTTATAAATTTGGTAGATAGGCAAGCTTGTGCTCTATGTTTTCTGAAACAAAATATGCTGTAAAATCGATGAAAATTTGCATAAAAACGAGAAAATTCGGAAATTGACATATTTTCTGACCTTCCTGTGGCCTCTGTGTATCCCATAACTTAGAACCAATACTCATTTTGTGGCAGGGGTAACAACAGGTTTCTATTGATAAACTGTTGCATCATTCTGAAAGACACCCAAAACCAGGGGCCAAAAAGGGGCCTTAGCCTATCTTGTCCTTTATTTTAAGTAAACTATATTAACTTTAACTCCGTAACTTTAATAACATATTAATTAAGCTCTACGTATGGTAATTTTTGCATCTTTACTTTGAATTTATGTCAAGTTTCATTCTGTTATTTCAACACATTTATTCAAAACTTTCAGTAAAGTCTCGGCTTTTGCTTTATTACTCGAGCTAAATTCACGTAGCAGGTGTTACAAGCTCTCCGCTCTCGATTTGTAACTTTTACGTGTTTACTTTCTGAAAACTTTCACTCTGTAATTTTTACGAGACTTATTCATGTAATCTTTGAGCTTTCGTTCATTTTTATTAAACACTCAGCTTTCGCTGGATTATGTAACCTTTACAAATTAAAACTGGTAAACTCGACGCCAACTTGGGTGGTACAGAAATATCTCCGATTAAAAGTACATGTGAAGTGCTTTTGAAGGGTTCTATTTATTATTTTTTTATTATTTCATTTTATCTATTTATATATTTATTATCAGTATTATCATATTTAATGCAGCTCAATTAAACATTATTTGCATTTATCTATTTACGAATCAATCACTGTACGATTCGAATTTGCCCGATGCAACCGGAAGTGGTTTTATTTCCTCCCACCTGACTTTGTTTTGATAATCATAATGTAGACTATAGTAAAGTATGTAGCTCTGAGGATTCAACCGACTAGCCTGTAAAGGCTGTCACATTGAAATGGCTAATATTATTTTTGAGTCCATTGGAATACCAACAAAGTTTCTGAGACCAGTGTCATCGACAAAGTTTCTGGGACTGGTAAAATTTTAGATTATCTTGATGTTGTTGTTGTAGGTTGAAATAATTCCTACATTACACAGGGCCGGGTACAGTTAAGATAAAAAGTAGTGTTGTAATGAAAAAAAAATGTCGGTTTAAATCACTGCAGACATCAAAATAGGAATCAACCATGTTAGTTCATCAACTCTGTCAACTGTAGAACAGGTCTAGGAAAATCACTATATTTAGCTATATAGCTAATTCTACCTATATAGCTTTATTTACCTATATAATATAGCTTTATTTAGCTATTTCAGAGTAAATTTCTGTTTTATGAAAAGCAGACAAAAAGTCGCATAATGAGGCAGTATTAGTTTTCAACTTTGAAATGGACTGAAAGCAATTCACCAAAAACCCACTTTTAAAAATGTTTCTCCTTTTGTGCAATTGCAATCAAAGATCTAAAAGTTTTGGGGCTATGTATAACAGTTAATCTGTGAATAAGCAGCTACTTTAACAAAGAAAAGCAGTTTTGGTCAACAAGATAATTGATTGGTAATAATTCAGCACAATGCAAGGCAATCACACTTAGTCATGCCTCATCGCACTTCCAGTAATGGACAGCTATCCAAACAATAGAGATGCATTTTTTGGTTAAAAAGTGTGTAAAAGAGGCAATGTTTTTACTATCTATGCCCTAGGTTGTTTTTATCAAACCTTTTTAAAAAAATATCAGCCATAATTTTCATGCGACTTTTTGTTTGCTTTTCATAAAACAGAAACTTATTCTAAAATAGCTAAATAAAGCTATATTATATAGGTAAATAGAGCTATATAGGTAAATTAAACTATATAGCTAAATATAGTGATTTTCCTGGACCTGTAGAAAAAAGAATTCCTCTAAGCATTTGAGCACTGTATTCTGTTGAGCTTTGTGAATACATAGCTCTAGTACGAAATATCTGACGTTTTCCAGGCGTTTTTCACGATTTTGATATTTGACGTTCCAGGAAAATGTCAGAACCGGTGCCATTATGAAAAGTGGAAATTTTGCCGCCCCAGACTGAACTCAATTTCATACTAATGCAAATCAAATAAAATGTCGAACCACAACTTATCAATAGCACAATGCTTCTAGTTCTCACAAATATCGCTTAAAAGAAATATCACTCCACATTCTGATTCAGGTCTCACGAAATTTCAAAATGCATGAAATCAAAACAAACCTCAACAGCTCGATAAAATGTTTTCAGCAGACATTTGATATTACAAAGCAACAATAAAAGTGATATTGCTAAGTACTAGTAAAAAGCATTGTACTGTTGATAAGATGTGAGATAGATTTAATTTGATTTGCAGAAATCAACCTGAGAATGCTGCCTCCAGTTGGAAGTGGAAAATTTCCGCGTTTATAGTGGCACCGGTTATGATGTTTTTCTTGCTTATCAAATATCAAAATTGTAAAAAAAAATGTCTGAAAAACATCAGTGTGCACTTATAAAATTTTCTGGGATTGTTTTATAACCTTTACCTATTTTATAGACATGAACTAATTACTACATTATTTACATCCTACAAGTTAAATGGTATATGAAATACTTTTCATGCATTCTATTAATAGGTGACAGAGCCTTGGTTGTTGTCACTGGTGCAGAGTGGACAATGTCCAGATGAACTGGACATAAATATCTCCGACTCGGAAATCGATGGTCTGCTTGCCATGTCTAACATTCAGACTCCCCAGCCCTGGATCAGGATTTTTATTAAGATCAAAGAACCATACTCAAAACCCAAACAGGAGTTAGTAATGATGATTGTGTACTACTTAACTTAACCCTAACCCTAACCCAAACAGGAGTTAGTAATGATGATTGTGTAGTACTTATCTTTACTGGACAGATATACTGATATTTGATATCAGCTTCATCAAAAACTTGTCTGTTTACATAATTTCTTAAAGTCAAGCATATGACCATGCTACATCTTTTCATGTAAAGGGTGGTATATCTACATGTACATAATTATATGCGAGTAAATATTTGTAATGTTAGGACTGCATTCAATAGCCCAATACAGAACAATAGAATCAGTAGTGTATAATTTATTTTCGTTTTAGCCCTGACTCACCAGACTGTAACACTGTTCCCTACACTTTACATGGACATCTGGACAACATTAATCAGAGGGTTTATCAGGACATGTGGCGATCTGTCTATAGTCTGTATGAAGAAGGCAAACTGTCTAATTCACGGGTATGTTTTAAAATGCATGTTGTTCTTTATTACTGATCTATGATGAAAGCAAATGATTTCAGATACATGTAGTGAAAATTATATTCACTATCACCCCAATAGGGGTTAGACAAAAATTAGAGCACCCTCCTTGCTTACATTTAAGTGATATGTCATTTGACAACAATAACAAACTTATACACTAGATGTAATTTCTCTCTTTCTGTCACGGGTTTCCCATGTCATCTATTTTACAAACACATACTGTGATCCTTCATGTACAATATGTCTTTTATATAATTCAGTAAGTAAAAGCTAAATATGATGTCTATTGATTATATTTCCATTTGTGATTTGTCTTCCAAGTTCCTTCTGTCTGAATACCTATTCTTCATACATCATTTGATGAACATCTTACATATCAAATAAATTTGCTATTTAACAGAATACATGTACATATATCTTACCTTTGAACTATTCATTGATTGGTACATCATACATGTATACATGTCTTACAGTAAAAGATTATACATTACTGTATGTAGAAACCATTTCACATGACTGTTTTATAAATTCATAAATTGCAAAGGACCCCATTATTATTAATGCACCACAAAAAATATGTACTCTTTTGGAATACATACTCTCTGTTTCATAGACAAGATTATTCCTTGTAATGAAATTATGTGTTTTTTTCAGGGTGTCCAGGACTTGTCTTGTACACAAAGTGTGATGGGTTGTCTTGATGTTTCCAAATTTCTATTGGGAGAGAGCTCCACACCCAATATTGTCCCTATCTACACTACAAAGGAAACAGGAAACCGTCTTATAGTCATAGAAAAGTATATTCCACACTCTGTTCATAGCATACGGGCCTACAGTCCAGCCATTGTTAATCTTTCTATAGCTAAACCTTTATTCCTGTTGTACCAACTCCTAAAAGTGATGCTGGTGTTCCACAATCAGGGGGCCAGAATTGGGGACCTGAGTATGTACAATGTTCTGGTGGACACCAATCTGTGGGTGTATAAGTCTGCTGTGTGCACAAAACCTCCAATGGAATGTGAGCTGAAGAGAGCAGACAGCTGTACAAACATAGACACAGTCACCAACTCTAGGATTGACATCACAGAACTGGAGAAAATAGAGAACATGGAGCCTGTACAGTTCCAGCATCATTACAACCAGCTGAAGGTGGAGCTGGTAGATTTACCCTCTCTAGTGGACATGTGGGTAAACAGAAAAATCACAAACTTTAAATATTTGTTGGTTTTAAATCATCTAGCTGGAAGACGATTAGGTGATCCAAATCACCACCCTGTGTTGCCATGGGTGATGGATTTCTCTGGCCCAGATACTGGCCTTCGTGATCTCACGGTATCAAAGTTCAGACTGAACAAGGGAGATAACCAGTTAGATTTAACCTTCCAAACATATTCCAGTGACCACATTCCACACCACGTCCCTGATGTTCTCTCAGATATCACATACTATGTCTATAAAGCCAGACAGACCCCAAAGTCTACACTTTGTAAATATGTCAGATCAAAATGGGTCCCTAATGAATATCCACACAGTATGCAGAGAATGCAGGAGTGGACACCAGATGAATGCATCCCAGAATTCTTCACAGATACCACCATTTTTACCTCCATCCATGAAGATCTTCCAGACCTGGAGCTGCCGAGCTGGTGTACTTCATCTGAGGACTTTGTTAGGAGACACCTGGACGTTCTGGAGAGTGACTCAGTGTCAGAGGATCTACATCACTGGATTGATCTCACTTTTGGGGTCAAGGTAAGAAAACATAAAAATAAATTATATTATTATACTTCTGTTAAAATGTTTTCTATATAAAGTTAAGAAGGTAAAATAACTATCTTTATAGTCTCAAAATTTCCACACATAGCAAAGCTATACCCCGGGGTATAGTTTTTGCTATCCACCCCTCGGAAAATTTTCATGCAATTTTTGCCGCCAATTTTGATTTCCTGTAATCAATCTATAGACTTATGATGTCATCCTGACTTCAGTAGCATTGTGGCGTCATCAGGATTTCAGCTCATTCTAGCAGTGTTATGTTATTCCAAATACTTGTTCAAAACTTCTATAATTTTTTTTTTCATGTTTTTACTATTGAACTGTAGTATCAGGTAAATCCAATCCTCAGAAATTATTATATACATCAGCAAGCCCTCGGGGAATAGTTCCTGTCGCGGGTTTGATAAAAGAGCTATCCCACTCACAGCCAGTGGATAAGTGTATAATATTATGTACTTTCATGTACATTTAGATAACTACTGTAGATATCTGTCAATGACATACATTTTTTAATGCAAATGCATATAAACATAAATGGAAATGGAAAAAATGAACAATCATTTGTGGGTTTGCATTATATTTTCTCTTCAATGAGGTGATAGCATTAAATGTAAATTTGTAAATAACCTTGTTCTGGATGGAGGACATACTAATTTCATGCAAATAGAGTAAATATGACAAATAGTCACATTCCCCAAACAGATTATTCATGCATATACTAAGACAAGACACCTTATTCTAGCTTCCTATTACATTTGTGGATAGGATGCATTCAGATTTTTTTTCTGGTTGTAAATTTTATCCACAGAAGCATTACAATGAAGTAAATAAAAGTCAAGAGGGATAAAGCAATCATTATTATAATAGACAGAGTTGATAGATTTTTATGTTACATTGTTTATGACATATATGTGTTTTGTAGCTGTCCGGGTCTGCAGCTGTTCAGTGTAAGAACGTGAACCTTCGTCTGGTGGACAATCACACGACCATGCTGAACCATGGTGTTGTCCAACTATTCCAGGAGCCCCACCCCCACAGGATCCCCTCCTCTACGTCCATGAAACCCACACCCCCTCGTCTGCCAAAAAACATGTTTATACTCCACGTAAGTGAATCAAAAACATGTTAATACACTACGTAAGTAAATCAAAAATATGTTTATACTCCATAAGTAAATCAAAAACATGTTTATACACTACGTAAGTAAATCAAAAACATTTTTTATAGATTAATTTAATACCATTGTAATAAGAAAATGTGAAATAACATTTCTTAGTTTAAAAATGAGCCGATTATTCAATAAAAAGATACAACTGAAAGATAACTGAAAGGCCACTGAAATGTATCTGCCACTCAGTCGACTGAATGGTAACTGAAAGATCACGGAAAAGTCACGGGAAAGGATCTTTTCAGTGATCTTTCACTGACCATTCAGTGGACATTCAGTTACCATTCCATTGACTGAATGGTGTAATTTCATCCTGTGATGTTTATACATGAACCACATATAAGTAAATCCCCCACCCCGCCAAGAAACATGTTTATAATAGATGTAATAAATCATACTTCCCCTCTACCAAGAAGCATGTTTAGAATACATATAATAAATCATACTTCCCCTCTACCAAGAAACATGTTTATAATACATATAATAAATCATACTTCCCCTCTACCAAGAAACATGTTTATAATACATTTAATAAATCATACTTCCCCTCTACCAAGAAACATGTTTAGAATAGATGTAATAAATCATACTTCCCCTCTACCAAGAAACACGTTTATAATAGATGTAATAAATCATACTTCCCCTCTACCAAGAAACACGTTTATAATAGATGTAATAAATCATACTTCCCCTCTACCAAGAAACATGTTTATAATACATATAATAAATCATACTTCCCCTCTACCAAGAAACATGTTTAGAATAGATGTAATAAATCATACTTCCCCTCTACCAAGAAACACGTTTATAATAGATGTAATAAATCATACTTCCCCTCTACCAAGAAACACGTTTATAATAGATGTAATAAATCATACTTCCCCTCTACCAAGAAACATGTTTAGAATAGATGTAATAATCATACTTCCCCTCTACCAAGAAACATTTTTATACATGTACTGCGTGTAAGTAAACCGACAAAACTCACAACTCCGCTTCCAAAAAAAATGTGTTAATAATACATGTAAGTAATACCTCTCTCTACCTTACATAAAAAAAAATTCAATCTGATAAATAAGCCTGTTATTAAGTAAATCATACATTCTTCTACCAAGCAAAAAATATATATTTATCTATCAGGTAGATAAACCTGTTTCCCTTGCCTGCCAAGGAACATATATTAATTCTTCATTCAAACCTCCGTACCTACCACAAAAAATATTGTCCTTCATATACATTTTTGTTCAATAAAATATGTTCATTCTTCATATATGTACCAGGAATACATGTACATGTAAAAACTACAGCTTAACATAGCTTTGTTTTAAGATCTTTAATCTTCATTTTTGTTTAAAATTTATTAAACTATAATAATTGACAACAAAGAATTTTTTGAAAATGTTGTGAAATTAGAAAAAAAATTCTATCTTTTGTAGAATTTACCAGAAATTCAAGAAGAAAGTCATTTTGACAAAAGGTAATATTCTGTGCTCAGTTCATAAATGTATTTCAGTTTTGAAAGTTCATGAAGGTATGTCTTGAAATTCTAGGCATATTTCATGAAATGTCAGGATATGACTTGATATTTAAGTGATATTCTCATGATCTTCTATAAATGAAATAAATTTATACTTTATATACATGTACTACGTGTATTTACATTGTCACAACACATTAATCCTATTCAAACACAAGGATTTGACAAATTGTCTAAGGTTAAGTTCCTTGTATTACAGGTAGCTTGAAGTAGTGTCATCTAAGTTCATTATTACTTCTCAACATTTGTAGTTCATGATGATTTGCACTTAAATTTTTTTTTTTCAAAGGAATCTTAGAGAGAAATCACGTGTAAATATATAACTTGAAACAGAAAAATCATTTAAATAATTGATTTTCCCTTTAGTCTTAACAGAATTTCTAAATAGTACTTAATTGTATGAAGTAGATATGCATTTGATGGGTAGCTTGTTTTTATGGCAGAGTAGCGAAGGGCCCTGAGAATGACCGAATCACGTTACCAAAGATGTACGATCCCCTCGCTGACCTTAATCAGATGGAGGCCTCCTATCAATTCTCTAGTAGGACATTTAAACAGATGCCAAAGAAAACAGAGATGCAGGCTTGTATTTCTATCTATAATCAGTCAATGTTAAAAAAAAAAATTAGAGACACTTCATATTTATATTTACAGATACAAGAATGCATGAATATTACTCTGCATTTTAGGTAATGCCATGCTCTGCATGGAGAGAATACAAAGCTTTGCCTGTCTAACTCTAACCCTACATTACTCTACCTTTTAAGTTAAGCCACACTTGGACCCTGTGACAGATGCTGTATGGAGAGACAAAGCTTTGCCGGTTTAACCCTAACCCTACATTACACTCTAACTTTTAAGTTAAGCCACACTTGGACACTGTGACTGACTTTGTGTGGAGGGACAAAGCTTTGCCGATATAACCCTAACCCTACATTACTCTACTTTTAGGTTAAACCACACTTGGACCCTGTGACTTACTTTGTGTGGAGAGACAAAGCTTTGCCGATATAACCCTAACCCTTCATTACTCTACCTTTTAAGTTAAGCCACACTTGGACCCTGTGACTGATGCTGTGTGGAGAGACAAAGCTTTGCCGGTTTAACCCTAACCCTACATTACTCTACCTTTTAGGTTAAGCCACACTTGGACCCTGTGACTGATGCTGTGTGGAGGGACATACAGAGCTTTGCCTGTCTTGCCTGTGAGATTTTTCTGAAGGATCAGATCCAGTTTCAGGACAGATCCTGGTCACTAGAGGATCGCTTCACTTACTTGTGTCAGCTGTACAGAGAGAATCCAAGTCTTATACCAAGGTGAATGGAATAATGAATGAATTATTTCAATTAAAACCAATTCATACAATCCAAGTTATTATTACAGATTGGAAGGATTTAATTATTGGTAATAAAATAAAAAAACATGTAAATATAATCTAATAATCAGTTCTTGTGATTTAGGTGCATTACCTCCCTAGCTCAGGAGATACTTCACTTACATAAGCCCCCCGCTGTCGTTGAGGATATTGCCACTAGGGGGCACCTGTCTCTGTTCCGGTACCCGACTGTGAGTTCACAAGGATTACCACCACCCACACCTGCTCAGCTTCTCCACCCGTTTGTAGATCTCCTTCCGTTCCCAGCCTACTTCTCCCAGCTGTATGAGTGTATCTGTAATCTCCGGCATAAAGACCAGGAGATACAGCTAATTACATGGAGGAAAAACAGCTCTTTGGAGAAAGACAAACTTATCAAAGTCATTTCCCGAGAAAAGGTCACCATCTTACAGCACTTCCTGGAGGAGAATCAGGGCTGTTACGGAGAGGAGGGGATTGATTTAGTCCTACCCTACGTCCAGGAACTGTTTACACAGGAGGACACGGCCATACAGGCAGCATGGTCACTCTTCAATCTTATTGGACAAGAATTAGGACCAAAGGAAACCGCCAAAATATTTCTACCATATTTAGTGAGAATATTTAATGTAGAACAATCCACACCCAAACACATGAAGATTTACCACCGGTCATTCCTGGTTCAGTTATTGGTGAGGCTAGGTCTGACTGTGTTCCTCAATAACTTCTCCACTCTCCTGGTGGAGGCGGCGGCGGGATACAGGGACTACGTGTTTGAGGATTTGTACCTCGATAACCTCTATCCCAATAGTCCAGGGTCCCAGAGAGAGTCAACAAAAGAGTTACCTCCCCTGAAGGAAGAGAGTGTCAGTGATGAGGACTCACAGACCTTTGAGGACACACTTCCTGAAGAAGACAACACTGAGGACGAATTCTCTGGAGATTTTCCTTGTATCCTCGAGGACGGACAACAGGGGACGGAGTCAGTGGAGGATGAGGAAGACATAGACAGATTAAGTGAAACCTCACAAGACGCGGATGAGGATGAAGATTCAGCTGATAAAACCTCAATTCACAGTTTGGCCGGGCTGATTGATCCCAGCCAAAGAGACGAGGCGGTCAGTGATCTGGAGGATGAGGACTCTGAGAGTCTGCAGTTTCAGGTCAGAGGACTGTAGTCAATGTATAATGCATTTATATATCAGTTAAGATGCATAAAAAGTCCAAAGGTTCATTGAGAGGAATTAAATAAAAGTTTAGAACATGAAGGAGAACTACACGTTTTTATCTGTTTGTAGGAAGATGATGAGGACACAGACTCTAGTCCTCAGATGATTCCTGTAGGCTCCAACACAGGCAGCTCACACTCCACCATCACAGGAAGTAAAGGAATGGTCCGCAGCGAGACGGATGAGTTTGCCAGGACTATGTCAGAAAAGTCTGAATCCGAAGTCGTTAATATCAAGGATGTCGCCACAGAGAGCATCAAGTGGTTGTCACGACGACTAGGCTGTGTGCTGACGGCTAAGTACCTGTCTAGGAATTTGATTCGCATGTTGACTCTATGCTACCTTGGTGATGAACAACTAATAACCATCACAGATTCAGGTAAGTGTCAGCTTCACATGACATATCACCATTACAGATTTTTTTAAGTTAAGTATTTAACTTGGGCTTAATGGTATAAATTGAGTTTCCTTCAGTAGTATAATATTTTTATGCTGAGCTTTCACAAATGTTTAATGCGGGTGATTTTACAGTGCTTACTATAAAGCATAATCAACTTAAAAAAAAATAGAAGGATATCAGATTCTGTATAGTGTGGTGTTTGCTATTGTTACAGATACATGTATTGAAGTACATATTATCATATAGAATTATTCACATTATCATATTCAAAAACTTCTAGAAAAACGGTTCAATAAGACATCACGACTTGTGTTTGGAGACAGAAATGCACAAAAAGTATTGGAATGTTTGTCTGAAATCTCGCAGCTGTATGGAGAACAAGTAGTGCTGCTGCAGTATATACCGTGTACTGTAGATATGGTATGTAGATATGGTGAGGGTTATGAATTAACTTGTACAAAACAAGTAAGGCAATTTAACATGAACCATTGTTTTTTATTCATCTCTTTTACAATGAGAATGATTTGACTGAATATTTTTTTTATATTCAAGGTGACCCTGGCCAAAAAGAGGCTGACCCAGAAAGGAGAGGCAGGGTTAATTAGTGCACTTGTACTGATGAGGCATGTCCTGCCCCTCATCTCAGACACAAGTCTTATGGATATACTTCAGGTAGATATTATAATTATACACTGTACTATGATTTTGGTATCTTTAGTTGGGGTGTTGTCAGAGTTGGTACATTTACCTTTGTCTTGAAACTTTGAGAGAACAATTTTTGAAAAATTGAACATTAGGAGTCATTATCTTAATTTTAGATTTATAACTTTGGCATAAGTGAAGAATTAAGGACATACGCAACGTACTTTACCTACTGATAATTTTTCAAGATATTCTTAATTTAAGATTATTGTGCCATCAGATGTTTGTAGAAAAAAAATCAGCATACATTACCAGGGGTTTTGAAAAGATATCAATTGATGAAAATTTTTGTATAATTTAAAGAAAAATGTACAAAAATTACAAAACATAGATTCTAGATGTTTTGTTTATCCAAACTCGTTTTAGAAGAAGTGTACAACAGCATATATAGACATTAAAATGTGGCACACAATTCCTTGAGGTATTGGAACTCTTCAACTCCAGGGAAAAAGACAAAAATGTTCAAACTATGTTGCGTATGTCCTTAATTGTGACAAAATCAATAAGCACACATCACTGGTATCACAGTTGAAAGAAGTTTTACATTATTATAGGAGACCATTATTAAGGAAGTTCTCAGTCCGACCATCAAACTGGTTTCCTCCCCCTCCTCTCATTTTCCTGGTGGTAGCAGCATTAGGACTGTGATCTGTCATAAACTGGTGGACGTGGTTTATGTGATAGGCCTTCGTCTGGGATTTGAAATGACCAGGAACCAGATGACAGGAATTTTAAAAGATTTCTTCTCTTCATTTAATCAAGTGTATGGACAACAGATGCTGAGGTCTGAGTCATCTCAAAGTTTGTCTGATCACAAACAGGGGAAGGGGAACCAAGGTGAGAACTAGTTAATACACAGTAGTCCTTCAGATTGATGATACATTTACATGTACATGTATGTAATCTATCTGTTTTTACATGTAATTGTATTTGACTAGAAAAATTCAAATATTTATCACACTTGAGGCAATTTGTATGAATTCCTGGTCTCTTCTCATTAAATGCCATGTATATTTAATGTACATGTATTTTAATGTACAGGAACTCTTGATGGCTCAAACTTCGATCTCTCGAAGTTCTTGATCGCTCGGAGTCTCCAGTCCCGAATTTTTCCTCTATATAACTAAGCAAATTGACTCTTGATTTCTTGAACTCTTGATCTCTTGAAACCCTTGAACCCTCAAAGTCAAAATGCAGTCCTGCTATGCATATTCTATTAGAATTTACCCTCGATACCTCGAAGTGGCTATGTGTATACAAGGTTACATAATTAGCATTTGAATGGCCCCAGGCAGAAGCTTAAGACTCTGGTCTCGAGGAACGGGATGTTTATTCAGGTGACACTTATACTGCAAGGTGATAATCTGACAATTGATTTATAATTGATAATATTCTGCCTATATGCTATTAAAATAATTATCATCGACTGTCTTACAATAATTTAGAGATGCAGTGTCAGTGAAAAGTAGTTATTGATTACAAGATGAAACACTAATTTAATTTTTATTTCGAGTCAGTGTCGAAGTTAAATGAAATATGAAAATGCAGAAAGAGCCTCAATGTCAATATGACGACTATTGTTGGACAAATACTTACAGAACTGCATTCAGTGATCATGTTTGGAACAGTCAATGCTATGTACGACACTGTAAAATGTCGTTTTCATGTAACGAATGCATAATATGATGTCTGTATTACAAAGAATAAATAAATATAAATGAAATGACGATATACATTTTTTGCTTTACTCAGTTTAATAAACTGTTCATCTAAAATACTAAAAAATATTGTTGTTTTATAAAAAGCACGTGTAAATGGTAGGCACTGCATGAAAATCATTACATCCGGTAAGACTAACTTTAAAACCTGTCAACAAACCCGGAAAATCCTGGACTCTTGAAAACTCGAACTCATGATCTCTCGAAGTTTTTCCTCGGTCCTGCGGACTTCGAGGTATCTCGAGTTACCTGTATAAACTCACTTTACAGATATTCTGTGATTCAAATGTCCGTAAAATAATTTTCTATTCTAGAATTTTATTTGAATTAGACTGCATATACATACAATGTATACTCAAATGTTTTATGATGAATACATATATACTGTGTACTCTTACGTCACATGTACATGTACACAGATGTCTCATTTATGATAAATACTTTTACATGTTTCCTCCATAGCTGGATCCTTGGATGAGTATTGTAACATTAAGATTGACTCGCACACTAACGAGTACACTATAGGGACACCAGTCAGCATAACGAGTCTAGACTCGCCCCACAACTCATGGATGATGCGGAAATCTCACTCACTCGCCTTCAACACAATGGAAGATAAAGGTAGGAAATTGTTTTAAAATTAACAAAATGGTAAGAAATAAACACATTTTGTCAAATTTTCAGTAATATGCAAAAAAAAAAAGGTCATTTCTCTGTATATGTACCTGAGAACTTAATTTTTGTCTCAACACAATCATGCAAAACTACAAGAAAAGATTTTGCTAATAAAAGATGATTTAGAGTGTTCAGTGACATGCACATGCATGTTTGTACAAAGTTTTCTCTTTTATAAAGACTCTGTTGATGTGAATGTGTTGTTTATAAACAGAGGACTCCCCTGAGGGGATGGTGAAAGACGTAGAGAAAGTGAAACAGGAGCTGGCAGACGTCTTCAATCCGGAGCTGGCCATGGCTTCCTACATCCCGTTCCTCAGAATCTTTGGGAAGTCAGTAGAGATTCCTAGTATTAAGTCAATTCATATTTATTACAGGCCTTAAGGATGCTTTAAACATTGCACATTGATGTGCAGGTCTAAAGCCAGAATAGTTTTATGCAGTGAGAGTGATCTGCTACTATGTTGAAAATGAACTTAATAACAATATGAACTCTTTATATGGAATAATTTTCCCAAAAGTCAGAAACTACATTTTTGATTAGTGTTTAGAGCCTCCTTAAAGAAGACACAAACAATAAAATATTAGATATCTGTACAATTCATTAGGCCTTTGTTTTTGCTCAGTACCCACATGGAGCAGTTCCTGCCCAATGAAGATCTCATTAGACAGCTGTGTTCTCAGTACGACATGAGTGTAGGACAGACATCTCCAGAGAGTTCATCAGAACTCACATCTCCAATAGGTAAAATCCCAAAACCCACATCTCCAATAGGTAAAATCCCAAAACCCACATCTCCAACAGGTAAAATTACAAAACCCACCTCTCCAATAGGTAATATCCCAAAACTCACATCTCCAATAGGTAAAATTCCAAAACCCACATCTCCAATAGGTAAAATTACAAAACTCACATCTCCAATAGGTAAAATCCCAAAACCCATGCCTCCAATAGTTAAAATCCCAAAACTCACATCTCCAATAGGTAAAATCCCAAAACTCACATCTCCAATAGGTAAAATCCCAAAACTCATCTCCAATAGGTAAAATCCCAAAACTCGCATCTCCAATAGGTAAAATTACAAAACCCACATCTCCAATAGGTAATATCCCAAAACTCACATCTCCAATAGGTAAAATTATAAAAACTCACATCTCCAATAGGTAAAATCCCAAAACTCACATCTCCAATAGGTAAAATCCCATAACTCACATCTCCAATAGGTAAAATTATAAAAACCCACATCTCCAATAGGTAAAATCCCAAAACTCACATCTCCAATAGGTAAAATCCCAAAACTCACATCTCCAATAGGTAAAATTACAAAACTCGCATCTCCAATAGGTAAAATCCCAAAACTCACATCTCCAATAGGTAAAATCCCAAAACTCATCTCCAATAGGTAAAATCCCAAAACTCACATCTCCAATAGGTAAAATTACAAAACCCACATCTCCAATAGGTAATATCCCAAAACTCACATCTCCAATAGGTAAAATTATAAAAACCAACATCTCCAATAGGTAAAATCCCAAAACTCACATCTCCAATAGGTAAAATCCCAAAACACACATCTCCAATAGGTAAAATCCCAAAACCCACATTCCAATAGGTAAAATCCCAAAACCCACATCTCCAATAGGTAAAATCCCAAAACTCACATCTCCAAAAGGTAAAATTCCAAAACCCAATTCTCCAATAGGTAAAATCCCAAAACTCACATCTCCAATAGGTAAAATTCCAAAACCCAATTCTCCAATAGGTAAAAATCCAAAACCCAATTCTGCAATAGGTAAAATCCAAAACCTACATCTGCAATAGGTAAAATCCAAAAACCCACATCTCCAATAGGTAAAATTACAAAACCCAATTCTCCAATAGGTAAAGTTTTCAGGGATTTAAATGTGTATAATTATTATATTGAACTGAATGAAAAATATGATATATTGATGAGGGAATGTTAAACTTTTATTCTATGGTAAACAATGCATTAATTAGCAAGTAAGGATGAATTATAAAAAACCAAAGCAGGTCAACATAATGATTTATATTGATCAGAAAACATCTTTAAATACTCTAAAACATAGAAACTCAGTTAAAGATACAGGACATACACATATAAAGCGAAATATTTCATTGAACATCAACTCCACATTTTTTGTTTGTAGAGGAGTACATTCCATCCCAGCAGTCTACAGGGTCCACTGCAGCCGTCACTGGAAACAAAATAGAGGTCACAAACACACACACAGACATGATCAGATTCGGTCCTATCCACCGCTCCTCTCGGATCCTCACCTTGGATCCTGATGAAACCAAGTGGTGAGGCTAATTATAGTGATGAGGTTAATTATAGAATGAAACCAAGTGGTGAGGTTAATTATAGAGTGAAACCAAGTGGTGAGGTTAATTATATAGTGAAACCAAGTGGTGAGGTTAATTATAGTGGTGAGGTTAATTATGGACTGAAACCAAGTGGTGAGGTTAATTATAGTGGTGAGGTTAATTATAGACTGAAACCAAGTGGTGAGGCTAATTATAGAGTGAAACCAAGTGGAGAGGTTAATTATAGACTGAAATATAATCTGGTAATGAAATAATTTTTAAAAAATGTTCAGTTTTAAAATATCTAATAATTTAAAGTAATTACAGAAATCAATTGGCTTATGATAGATGACAGTAACTCTACAAAGGTTAAACATGTTTCTTAATGTGAAGTTCATGGTTTTCTCTCACATTCAGTGTGATTTATTTCAGTGAATATAAAGAGAGACATAAACAGAGGCACCTGAAGGGGAACTGGCTGGCCTACTGGGAACACGAGCTAGGTACTGCTCTCTCTCAAGAGGCCCCTCAAGGGAAACTTAATGTTGTATACTTGACAAATGAGTGATATACATTGTACAGGTACTCTGTGACCTGTCTAGGTTAAAAAGAGTTGAAGGAATATTAAAGGGAACCAACTATCTTGAGTAAACATAATGTAATTAAATAAAGTAATTATAATTAAGGTCAATCATTTTCTGTTCCAGGTTTGAGTGAGCGAGACTCCCTGTTCAACTTTAAACAAATCAAACTTCAGACATTTGAGGGGCACAGCAGCAGTATCAGAGCTTTGGTCGCCCTGGACAATGAGAATTCCTTCATCAGCGCCAGCAAAGACAAAACGGTCAAACTGTGGTCAATAAGAAGCTTTGGTGACGGAAATGGAAGGTAAGATAAAGGTGAAATAATCTGTCAACTCCAAGGTGCTAAAATTCTAAATTTTAATCAGTCCCTGTCTTTGTCTTAATTAGGGCTATTCCAGGAAAAAATGTATGGGAGGGTTGGACGGCACTTCATATATTTTTGTATGGGTAGTGGGTCTGTAGCAATTAAATTTGTATGGGTGGTTGTCCTCACTCGAAATATTTTTAGATGGGTGGTTGTATTTACCCTCACAAATAATTAAGTGCAAAGTATTTCTTTCCTCTCATTTTGTATAAATCGGTAAATATCGATATTTTCGTCCTAAACAGTTGTAAAGTGTGTTTACATTGAAAGTGAAAGTAGAATCGAACAAAACGGAAACAAGGGCAGATAACTATAAAAGCATGTGCAACTGAGACTGCAATGACAATGGGGGATTGGAAAACGATTCGTTGTGCTTTGGACTACCTGGTCCAGTTTCTTTTCGCCAGTTTAATCAAACTTGATTACATTGGTAAATTCAATGATATTAGAAACAATCAGAAAGATCGTTTTATTTTAAACCAAAAGTAGAAAAAAACATATCTGATAATGAACGTTTTAGAGCATGACTATGGAGTTTGCAAGTCAAATATTTTACTTTATACCACATACAGAGTAAAAGGAAGATGAGATATGAGTTTAAAAACAATATGAAATATATTATGTCAAAAACATACCAGTCTTTAACCTGTTTAGTGTTAACTTGTCGAACTTGTATGCACCAATGGTCTAAGTTGTTAGATGGGATTTAGAATTCATTCAATATATATTTTTTAATCAAAGTTTTCACTTAACAGACACTGCCTACAGAAGTTTAGTCCCCCCCCCCCCCCCCTCCAAAAAAAAAAAAGCAGGAGTCATTTTGTTATGAACAAGGTGACCAACAATTGTTAAGGATAGTTGGGCTATAATTTACAATATTAATTTTAATTAATTGTAGGAATGTCATTTCTACTAGTACATGTGTATACATACTTGTAAAAGCTTTACCAAAGCTTAACATACTACAAAGTCATGCATCAGAAGAGATATACAAATCACTATAATAAAGGTTTTCAGTGGTGTGTATCATAGGCCTAAAGGAACATATTTTTTTAAGCTGTAGCAGGAACACGGGGAACTGTTTTACAACAAAAATTATGACTAAGACTAAAAACTTTAGTTGTTCATAAAATTTTACAAAACTTATGTTTCTGTTAAAAATTGTTGGCATAAAACTATCTTTTTTTTCAAAAAGATTTAAAACATTTTTAAAGTAATGCAAAAAAGAAATTTATTTGCATAATGAATTTTTTTTCTTAGTCATAAGTTCTTTTGTAAAACAGGCCCTGGTTGGATAGATGTCAAAACCCAACACTCATTCGAAGTCAGATAAATTACAATCCCTGAAAAAAGTACATAAAATTTTATTGTATATATATATGTAATACAATTTTTTTTTTAATTTAGATGGGTGGTTGTATCAAAAGCATTTTTAAATTGATGGGGGGTGGGGTAGAAGGTAATTAAAAATGTGTGGGTGGTGGGGTAAAAATAAAAGTGCTTTCCAACCCCCCCCATACAATTTTTCCTGGAATAGCCCTTAGGTGCATGTGTTTTATTATTCCTAATTTTGTCTTCCAGATGTAGATGCCAGTACACCTATCAGGGACATAAGAAATCGATTTTCTCTATCGTTTACTTGGATACCGTACAACTGGTGGCTTCCTGTGACAGCAGTGTTCATGTAAGTAAGAGATGTCAAAAAGTTGAAAAAAAAAAAGAAAATCATTTTTTTTATGCTCGCCTGATCTGAGAACTATCTTAAGCATCTGATCAAAGTCTGTCATGCATTTCTTATCCTTTTTCTGTTAATATTTTTGACATTTTGAACTCCTTCTGAGGAACGACTCAACCAAATTCAAATAATAGCATCAATAGTTCAAAGAATCCTTTCTTCAAATGAATACCTTCTTCCAAGGGGAGGTAATTAAACAGTAGAAACAGAGTTGTGTGGCATAAAAATCTTCCAGTTAAGACCAGACTGAAAAAAGATTAAAATTTAATGAAAGATTAATAAAATTTTTCAAAGTGCTCAAGTGGATACACAGTAGGAGTTTTACACAGGAATCTATAACATACTATAAAATCACTTTTTTCAAGAGGTCACATTTTTGAGTTTTGAGGAAAAAGTATTACCAGGTAGTTCACTGGGATTTGATTGCATGATTGAGGGCATAAACATGATAGTCTAGTTTGAAATACATGTACTTGTACTTGAATCTTTACATTATGCATAGTGAATGGGCAAACATTAGAAATAAAATTAAACATGATAAAGGATCATATTGGCAGATATGGGACCCCTTTACCGGTGAAATAGTGAGAATGCTGGATTCCAATGGATCCTCTCAACCAATCACAGCCATGACGACCCTACCAGCTCCCAGTACCATGATTGTCACGGCAACCAACGAATCCATGCTGAGGTCAGTCAGAGTTATCTTTCCTTGGAGCATCTCATTTTTGCTTTTCTGTACTTTAAGTTTGTAACAATAATTTGGAGATAGTTAATTACTGCATTATCAGAAATGTCAGAGAGTATTGTAATTTGTTTCTGTAGATACCTAGATTTGCGATCAGCTGAGTTTGCACACGAGTTCAAAACATCGACTACTTCTGCTGGTAAGTCAGTGCTGGCTTGGCTGTTAAATCTCCTCATAAGAAGTATGGATTTAATATGGAAAATTATATATTTTTTTCTTTCACATTGCTTTTGATGTAATTGTAACCAATTCCTGCAGACGTAGAAATTTGGGCGTGTTTTGTGTTAACAGGTTTGATTCGCTCTCTGACCGTCAGTCCAGACAACAACTGGATAGCTATTGGATTCTCCTCAGGTCTTATGTCCCTGCTGGACCAGAGGACAGGATACCTGATGGCTACCTGGAAGGGACATGAGGGAGAAATTTTACAGGTAAATGATACCCTGTACATGTAAATTTAAATCCTAAAATTTTGATGAACGGTTGTATAAAATTCAATTTTTTCTAAGAAAACTGTGATAACCTATTCATAATTCTTTAAACTTCAGGTGAAGGCATTTAACAGAAATACCTTTGTGTCAACTTCATTTGACAACACAATGAAAGTTTGGAGCTCAGAAGACATTAAAGATCCCTGTGTACTTAAAGGTAAGTCTGTTTGTACTTAAAGGCAAGTCTGTGTGTACTTAAAGGTAAGCCTGCGTGTACTTAAATGCAAGTCTGTGTGCTGATGTGTACATGTATACTGTTACAACGAGATTAAAATACTTGTGTACTTAAAGGTAAGTCTGTGTGCTGATGTGTACATGTATACTGTTACATTGAGAGTAAAACAAAGAGGCCAGCATGAGCTTGGAAATAGAAGGAAGGATAAGTTACAACAGAAAAAGTATAGTTTACAACTACATGTAATAAAGGAAAGTCAGAATTCAGACACTATAGACTTAGAGTGCTTATAAATATACAAAATATGAGGCAACATGAAGATTCCTTCTTCCAAGAAAAATTATTCGAGCAGACTCTTTAATGAGGATTAACAAAAGTTTTGATGTCACTAGAATATATATCACTTGCAATAGAATTCATTCTGTATGGGGTATGTCTTATCATTCGTGGCAATGTGAAATTCCTGAAATTACCTAGTGCTAAAAAATTTCTAATTTTTAAGAACAAACTGCTGAATTTGCATCCCACTAAATATTCCACTAATATGGTTTTCCTTGTGAGCAGGATCTGTTTTAACACTTTGTGTCTTAATTGTATCACACACTTAGATGATAAAACGGTTACTTATGTTACGCCATTAAAAGGTAGGATTGTATGCTGGCCCAGGAATTTACAAAATAATATGCTATCTATATTTTTGTTACAAAAACAGGTCACACGGAGCCTGCCCACTGCTTCACGTTTTACCGAGATCAAGTTGTCAGTGCCACCACAGGAAACAAGATAGGAGTTCACTCCTCAGTAGACAGTCAGGTATAAAATAAATACGTAATAGTAAACAACAGAAAACGAGATAGGAGTTCACTCCTCTGTAGACAGTCAGGTATAGAATAAATACATAATAGTACACAACAGAAAACAAGATAGGAGTTCACTCCTCAGTAGACAGTCAGGTATAGAATAAATACGTAATAGTAAACAACAGAAAACAAGATAGGAGTTCACTCCTCAGTAGACAGTCTGGTATAGAATAAATACGTATTAGTACACAACAGAAAACAAGATAGGAGTTCACTCCTCAGTAGACAGTCAGGTATAGAATAAATACGTATTAGTACACAACAGAAAACAAGATAGGAGTTCACTCCTCAGTAGACAGTCAGGTTATAAAATAAATACGTAATAGTACACAACAGAAAACAAGATAGGAGTTCACTCCTCTGTAGACAGTCAGGTATAAAATAAATACTTAATAGTACACAACAGAAAACAAGATAGGAGTTCACTCCTCAGTAGACAGTCAGGTATAAAATAAATATTGTGTAATACATGTAGTACACAACAGAAAACAAGAGTTCACTCCCCAGTAGACAGTCAGCTATAAAATAAATACGTAATAGTAAACAACAGAAAACAAGATAGGAATTCACTCCTCAGTAGACAGTCAGGTATAAAATAAATACGTAATAGTAAAGAACAGAAAACAAGATAGGAGTTCACTCCTCTGTAGACAGTCAGGTATAGAATAAATACATATTAGTACACAACAGAAAACAAGATAGGAGTTCACTCCTCAGTAGACAGTCAGGTATAAAATAAATACGTAATAGTACACAACAGAAAACAAGATAGGAGTTCACTCCTCAGTAGACAGTCAGGTATAAAATAAATACGTAATAGTAAAGAACAGAAAACAGGATAGGAGTTCACTCCTCTGTAGACAGTCAGGTATAAAATAAATACGTAATAGTAAAGAACAGAAAACAGGATAGGAGTTCACTCCTCTGTAGACAGTCAGGTATAAAATAAATACGTAATAGTACACAACAGAAAACAAGATACATGTACATGTCAAGTTCACTCTGCTTTAGACAGTCTGGTATAAAAAGGACAAGTAATATGCCATTACAAATACAATCCAAGTTTTGGATTCAATAGATAGGGCTTGCATGTTCACAACTGTTTTTCAAAGACAAGCTATATTGTATGATGTACTTTATTTTCAGGCAAACTTTACTTCTACAAAGCTGAAAAGTGACACCTTTAAGGGAGTGTTGACCAGTCTAGCGGTTCTTCCGCTAAATAGAACACTTCTACTGGGAGCCGACAATGGCAACATACGGCTACTGTGCTAGATACATGTAAACATGGGCCCAATGCTAGATACATGTAAACAAGGGGCCTATGCTAAATACATCTACATATATATGTGGCAGCTTTGCTAAATACATATAAATATGGCAACTATGCCAGATACCTGCAAATACAGCTGCAGCTCAAGTAAATTTGGCTACTGTGGTAGATACATGTAAATATGGCTACTGTGCTAGATACATGTAAATATGGCTATTGTGCTAGATATATGTAAATATGGCTACTGTGGTAGATGCTACTGTGGTAGATACATGTAACTATGGCTATTGTGCTAGGTACATGTATATATGGCTACTGTGGTAGATACATGTAAATATGGCTACTGTGCTAGATACATGTAAATATGGTTATTGTGCTAGATACATGTAAATATGGCAATTGTGCTAGATACATGTAAATATGGCAATTGTGCTAGATACATGTAAATTGCTATTGTGGTAGATACTCCGGTACATGTAAATACTGTGCTAGGTGTATGTAAATATGGCTACTATGCTGGATAATTGTGGATATAGAGTCTTTGATGAACAATGACATCACAGTAGCCATAAATAATAAAACTTTATAAACTGATACTCAGTTTATCATATCATCAGGTTTTTGTCACTGATACACTTAATTCCAGATATTCTTCATTGTTTATGTTTCATATTGTTGTTTGTGAAGATTTCATGTGCTACATGTCAGTGCAATATTTCTGCTCAAAGAGCACTTTCAAAGTTGATATTGTCAGCCATAGTTGTTTTATTGTATGTTTTATGTTTGAATTATTTTCTATTTTTATAGCATATGCAATAAATGTCCTGCAACTAATTTTTTGTGTTTTAGAAATTTTGATAACTAAGGTAATTGGCATCATGTGAGGCATAAATTTTTCCAGAATTTTTTCTACAGTTTGTGTTTATCCCCTTTTTGTATGGATTTATGATAAAATTGTGCTACTTAAGAATTGATACACATTCTGGCATCTCTATAATAGTTAAAGTTGGTATCATAATGGAACAAGCCACAGTCATCATAGGCTTCTCCCGTTTATTTTTGTAGAGGTTGTTTATTTTTATTAGATGACCTTTATTTGTGTAGAGGTTGTGTGTGAATCTTTCTGTAACTTACTTGTATCTTTACAGACTGAATGGGTCCCAGCTTCTCCCTTCCAAAGAGAATAAAGTAAACAACCAACAGTCTTCAACAGAATGCCTCTGATTTAATATCTTAGCTTGGACATTTTTCACAGGGGTGTCCATTTTGTTAATCTCCCCAAATAAGTGAGTGTGTGTGTGAGTGAGTTTGAAATTCAGGTATTTTCCATCCATCAGAAATGGGTATCAAGAATTTATTTCACTATGAAATTCTAAAACAATTAAATGATTTGATCAGTCTGGCTCTGTCAATTTGAAGCTTCTTTGTTATATGTTATGTAAATTAGAAGAATTTTTTCATGGAAGGTGTAAGGGTGGGGGGGGGGACAATCTCTCATGAAAAAAACTCAATGGCACAGGCACTTGTTTCTGTAATAAATCTTTAACCCGTAGTATAATAATACATGTAACACTATGGTTAATTTTTCTTACAGAAACAGTCCCGGATAGGTTCTTAAGAGAAGGGGGGTGTTCTTTTGTGACAACAATAGGCCATTTTATAATAGAGGACCATGAAGGTGTGTGTTGAGATGAGTTAGGAAATACAGTGATGCTGTTTCTGGGGTGGGTAATGATATGGACATTAGCCTTTCATTGAATGGATATTTTACTTGTCAACTTTTTTTTTGTAAACACTGATCACACTGTCGCGCGATTGAATACCAACACCGCGACTGGTCATTCGTAACTGATCGCAGACCTTCTCTGGCCTGGAATTTCAAGTTTGAATACGAGATGATGAAAATCGATACCTTCTCGTACAATTTGTTCCCCTTTGATGAGATATGGTAACGATTGATCAGGTGCCACTATCTGTCACGGAAAAATCATTGTTCGGACACAATTACATACATTGTACATGTACATGTAGGATTGTCCCGATCGAGCTCACGATTGGATTTCGATCTGACACGACCATCATATCCGGGTCCCTGATTTGTGATGATCAGGTACATGCAGATACGCCCGGATACGTTAAGCTACGTACGAACCGATGCGATAGGATGTGATTATGTTCGCGGGTTTTTCACTTTCAGGATCGAGGTTGATCACAATTTGAGCTACGACTGGATCCCAGCTTGACTGACCCGACTGGCCGTGGACTTCATTGTCAGTTCAACCGATTGTCCAACCATGGTGTTAAAATTTGGATCATAGCTGATCTTGGAATTTTATGTAGTCATACATATAGGGAAATAATTGTTCAAAAAAGTAGTTTTCCTAGATCTCAAGAAACATATCCATTGTCCTACAGAATCATTATTGTTCAAATCATGCTAATTGGATTAGAATGGGGCGCAAAAAAATAAGCGGGAATATTTGGAAAAATCTTTTTATGAACAGCGGGGTCATTATTTGTCAAAAAGAAAGGTGACTTAGGCGCGCGCTGGGTCTCGTAATTGTTATTCAGTTCAGGACAGTCCTGTTCTTATTTCTTTTCCCCAATTTTATATGCATTTTATTTTATATTTTATTTTCACACACACACCCTCCCAATAGTTTTGCCAAATATAGAATACAATAGAAAACATAGCTACCATATGTCAACTGAAAATGTACGGTTGTGCCCCCCCCCCCTTCAAACTGAAATTGATTCCTACGGGCCTGAAATTTATTAAGTATTTCGAATTTTCAAAATTTTCGATAGGCCTAAGACTACCCCGGGCCCCCCTTCCTCCCAAGAAATCCCTCTTCATGTACCGGGTATCTTCGCACAGAGCACCTTAATTTTGCTTTATGGAACATTTTTAGTGATTCCCGTTATTATAAAGTCTACAAACATTTATGAATCCGATTCGTATTTTTAAAAATTAAAATCCATTTTAAAAAATCGGTATTTGTCCAGGTAAGTTGTCCTGTGTGTATCTGGTCGTCGTCAGATTTACGATGTGTCACAAGCTATGTCTCGTCTACTTAACACGCGAATCCTGACATCTTTCATACATCGGTTGTCAAAGCCCTGTCGCTGGAGAGAGAAGGCGCCTAGGGTTACACGGCGACAAATCAGGCGGGGTCTATCTCCAGGTTTAAATATATCCAAAGTTTTAATTTGAGTTGTATATCTTGTTGCGTAATTTATCCCCAAGATTGTATCACACCGTATAAATCTATCCAAACTTACTAGTGTGATGTAATAATTATTGTATTAATCCCGTCACGCCAGTTAATTCAAAGGTTTTAAATTCCAGCGGTGAGAATTCGCGTGTCGGCCTCGTAAGGTTGCTCGTTGTATACGATATACACCTGTAGGTATTTTATACAGGTAAGAGGGAATCTTGGAATGCTGTTTATCTACCTTGACTAATCAATATTTACACCGTAGAAACATTAGGTATGCCAGCAATTCAAAGAGTCCCATACTGACACTGCGGGGTCCGTACATTACTTTCAGTTTCGGCCCGTCCTGTGACAAAGTTTTTTTGGTGTGGTCATACTTGACAGACCTGCTGTTCACTCATGGATGACCGCGGTCCACATTCTTGTGATAGTTGTTTTGAATACTATAAATCTGTACGCGATACAGAGGCCGATTTCCTTTGTGTCACTTGAATGCTTTTTTTCTAACCACTGTTCAGATTCTCTTCTGATGTCCCCTATTTATATTTTTAAAGACCTGAAACACTTCATTATTTTAACAGCAGTTTTATGCCATGTGCCAATGATATTTTTACTGGGATTTTAACGTGAGTAATTTCTGTGTACTATGTTGGAGGGAGTAGTAATTATTCTGATTTTGGGAGGATGTTTGGACATGGTAGAAGGTCAGCAGAATTGTCCAGAACAGACAGATCCCGCTGTCATCATTGTGGCTACAATCTTTGCTACTCTGGCCGTCGTTTTTATCGTCGCTGGTGTCATCTGCTTCTTGATTTGGAGACGACGACGAGGTGAGCTTTATACAGGAATCTAACAAAATTCAGAGATATCATTTTTATTCAAAATTTTTTATTTTATTTTCGTATACTACTGTAAAACCCTAAAGAAATGGAGAGAAATTTTGATGCGCCTTGTAAGAATTTTATCATTATAAGGACAGCTGCAAGGCCCCAAGTTCCGATAGCAGAATATTAAACTGGAATGCAAACAGTCGAATATACAACACAAACTTAATCAAGTGTAAATCATGAATCGAAATTCATAAAGCAGAGAAAATTATAATACCAGAGCAGTGAAACGGTACGAAATTTACCTTTACAATAGAGAGGAATGTTAAGGAATGATAAATAGGCGCGTCCTCTGACACGGGAATAAGACACCAGTGTCATACATATAGCGGTAATAAAATACATATTAATGTGGCTTTCGTTGGCGGAATATGTATTGTAGATATTTATGAAGGCAGAACATCTACCCATAAGTTTTTCTTTTTTTATGCTGCTTACATTTGGAGCGTCTTGCTCTATATCCGACAAATATTAATAGAGTTTTGCCTGGGAACTGTCGCATGTCTTCGTGTTGAACACTTACTAACCAATATGTATTCTGAAAATCTATTCGTTTTGGACGTAAGGCCTCTTGATAGCCCGTATAACAATACATAAAGGACACTTGGACACAAGCTGTTGCTCAAATTCCCTCTGACGGACAGAGGGATGGACAGTGAATTTGGACAATGTCCAATCTCCGCTTAGAAAGACCTCTTTATTATTAATAAAAACAGGCGGTCTTCAGTCCTCTCATTGATAAAACCACTTCGGGCAGTAAACGCATTAGGAGATTTAAAGTTTTAACTATATATATATGTGTATTATTGTAAAACCAGAAAACTGGGCCTCTGAAGAAATCGGAAAATCTCTCCTATACTTGTATAAATTTGGCGGGAAAACCTCTCGTCTGTTGAGGTTTTCTCATGTATTATCTACTGAACAGTTCCAACTTCTCTTGAACTTCATACATATACTTCGTGGAAAACGTCATTCTGGAGAAATTTAATTTTTCCACTTCTATATACAAGTATATTTGTACAACGGTTAAAAGACATTGTCAGCACTGGCTGTTTCGATCAGCTAGCATATCTCAAAATCCTTGCATAACCATGCATCAGCCATTAGTACATTATGACCCAGTCTTTGGGTGGAGCTGGATTATTGGATGGGGGGCTGAGTCTTTGGGTGGGGGATGTCCGGTGACGAGTATGCACCACAAGGTCAAATGAACGCTTACCTTACACACTGATGTAATGCAATGTGCTTTATACAAGGGGACAGGGGATTGCAAACCATGCACCTGAAGAATCTACAGTATATAATACCTATGGTACTCAATGCAAAATAATATCTATAATTAAGATTTTGTGTAACACAGTGTGATATACTGTATAATTATTTTGTGAATGTGTGTAACGCAATGTTACTGTAATTGTTATATAGGCAGGTACATGTGTTATGGTATTAGAAGGAGTGGGGGGGGGGGGGGCTATCAGCCCCTCCTTTTTTCCCCGAAAATAACTTGATCTGTTGTAAATTTAGTGTAAAATTCGTTTAAAGATCAGCTCGTTTTTTGTTTTTTGTTTTTTTTTTTGTATAAATGTTTTGGGGCTTTATTATTTCTCGACTGTCCTACCTACATCCTTTGAAAAACAAAGAAAAACGATGGTACATCCAATATTGATGACAACTTCCAATTCAGTTTAGGAAAACGAGACGAATTATGCACTATGTATCCTTCAATATTGAAAACATCTGCATGGGGTGTGATGGTCATATTGTGGGGGCAAAATATGAGGCGAAAGGAGCCGAAGGTAAAAGGGAGGAAGACGAAAGAGACGCGATTGTTTATCCACCTTTCCATCCCCACTTATGGTCAAACGGAAGCAATCTAAATTGTTTCAAGGATAAAAAATAAGTCAGTCTTTTAATTTCTTTTTTCCATATTAAACAATTGCAACATCGTATATTATGATAGAGTTTTTTTTTAAATTTTAAACATTGATGGATTGGGTAAATGATCGAAATACAGATTCATCCACTGATCAGAACCTGTTGAAAGAACTCCAACCGATTCAACCGTTAATCCAACCGTTAATTCGATTCATAGGCGTCGGAACCGGGGGGGGGAGGACTTAGCCCCCCACTTTTTTTTCAAAGATAGACAAAATATAGGCATTGAAAACTGGGGCTTACCTTTTTCCGTTGGTTTAGCCCCCCCCCCCCCCCCACACACACTTTCAATAGCCATCCCACTTTCAATTTGCTTCCGACGCCTATGCGATTTAAATGATTTTAAAGAAAAAAATCTGTCTGTTTGTGTCAGATTTTTTTTAAAAAATGTCAAATCAGAGACATTCATTTTTAAATGCATCGGGATCGTCGTGTCGCCTTCGCGATTGTCAGACTCCGCGCATTCGGCAAACCTCGGCTGATTCCGTCACCTTCATTCGGCAAACCTCGGCTGATTCCGTCACCTTCATCAATGATGAGGTACGAATCGGCCGAGGTGTGCCGAGTGAGACTCCGCGTTGCCGATCTGACAGAAAGGAACATTTATTTTAGCTGGGTGAAGTGGATGATTAGGCCTATTGATGATTTAATTTTGGTGATGCATGTTTAAATGTGAAATGTACCCATTCTTTTCCATTTTATTTTGTTCTTTTCCTCTAGTTCTCTCATTTCATATATGAAATGTTTAATAAGGTAACGAGCACTGATCATTTCTCAAAAGTCCATTAAAATGATACAATTTTTTCAGTCTGTAAAAAGTTTATATAATTTTTTTTATTTAAAAAAATCCTGCATTGTTTAACGTACTGCAGCTCCCTAATTTTGTCTCCCTTAAGAAAGTTTTCCCCATTTTTCATGTTAGGCCTATGTCTTATAATTATTCACGAGTTTGTGATTTGATGATTTGATTTCAGCAGCTAACAACATGAACAATAAACCAGGTTTATGATAGTGGGACATAGTATGAACTTGATTGACCCCAGGGTATTAAGTCTAACTCTGGTTAAGGATAACTGTACCAGAGATGGTTTTCAGCAGACAATCTGATGAAGGGGGATTACTGCAGCAGATTTGTCACTCTGTTGATGGGTCCCTCTTTGAAGATGAACAGTTTCCTTCAAATCAGCTTAGAAAGTGCTGATTGGAGTCTGCCTATTGTGATGAATTGTTAACAAATAATTGAGATCATTGACAGAATTTTGAACTTGAAAGAGGTTTATATTTTCAAAGAAGTTCAAATAAGTGCATTTTAGGCTCGGCCATGAATTGGATGTTCTCATCATTTGGGAGGTATTAGGACAAGAACATTGTTTATTTGGCTTTGTATTCCAATTAAAATTACCTTTGACAGTTCTTGTTATCAGTAATTGGTTCAAAATTTATAATGTTGTTTTGGGGTTAATTTTCCTGCAGAAAGTTCACTTTGCAACTGAGCTGGTTCCTAACAACAAGTTTTGCCATTCTGACCATACAAAGAAAAAAAATTATTTTAAATTGGGAAGTTTATGGCATTAAATACAGTAAAGAGTTGATTAATGGTATCTGATATCTGCATTTGTAGAGCAGTTAGGGCACAAATTTGGAGACAGAATATTAGAAACAAAATTATCTTAATCTCTATCACACCCAAAGGTTCAACACAAACAGCCCACAGAATGAAATCTAACCAATTTGTCACACGGTACCTGTGTGAAACTCACTTATGATCATGCTTATTTATAAAGCTTATGTCAAAAATTAGTTGAACAAATCAGTGAAAAGTAATTTTTATGCACATTCTCTCTGCATCATAAACTGCTTGCTCAACAATTAATATACCATTTACAATGTACATACCTTGTGTATCATTGAATTTTCATTTTTTAGATCTGAAGTCTGACAAGGAAAAGTCTGCCAATTTCAGAGATGAAAACGACCTGGGTGTGTCCAATCCTGCCTACATGGATGGGGAGGGGGACCTAAGTTTAGCAGAACAAGGCAAGTACATTTGTATGTAAATCGCCCAGTCTGAGAACCGTATTAGCCATTATTAAAAATCCACTGGACTACACAGAAGGAGTTGGGAACTCATTCTGATGAAACATTAGGCATACATTTACATTACTCCAGCATGCTAGGTTCACGGCGAGATACTTTTGACTACTTGAAGCTCTTACTTGTAGGAGTAACATTTATACCCGGTATATACATCAATTCCACCCTCTCTCTTAACCCCCCCCCCCTACATATATATACCCCCAATGACCCTTTACATGTATCAAACAACAAGGTTAAGAAATATACCTCACTGTCACTAACAAAACATGAAGACTTGGACAATGCTGCAAATAAAATGATTTATAAACACTATATTTTCCTGTCTTATGATGGGTTAATGTTTTAGTCATAGTGTTTTGCAAAGCACAAAATCATTATATATGTGATGCATGTATGTAAATTTCTTTCTCTCCACCTTTGAATGGAATAGCTTCTGATGACCTATAGGTAATTAAAGACTAAAGAGATGACCTATATTTCAACTGGTAGATAATTATAGAATCATCAATGGTAGCTTACCAAACCCTGTCCACCAGGAGAGTATTTTTTTTATATCCATTTATCTCTATAATAAGGAAGATTGGATTTACACCAGCATTGTAGGTTTGAAGTTTGATCCACCCATCTTGATTATGGGTAGTATGTAATTCATATAGCACTGAGGGTTCAGTTTGCCTCTCTGGCTACAATCACCCAAGCATTATGATTAATTTGAAGTTAGATCCACCCATCTTCATCATCATAATAGCATTACCTAATTAAGCCACCGAATCACCCAAGTATTTTGGATATGAGGTTGTATCCATCTGTATCTATATTTTGGATATATGAGATTGTGTCCACTTGTATCTATATTTTGGATATGAGGTTGCATCCACATGTATATGTATTGTTAGGGTGAATTAGCCACAATCTTATGTTTACATCTTTACCATCTGTTGATATAATTCATCAATCTGTATTATTAGTTAATATTTTAAGAATCTGTCCACCGTTCACACTGACCAGGTGAAATCTAGATAAAACAACATTGACATAAAATTTGTCATATACTTAGATAAATTTTATCCAATTAACATGTCTAAAGGCCTACATGTACAAGTAATTGGCAATTTTAAATAAAAGTGTTTTTTAATATTTTTGTTTAATTGAAAGGCTTTAAAGAATATCTAGATAAAATAAAAAACTTAGTTGAATGACAAGTGTACGTTAAATGATATGGAAATTCTAGACAGAACTAGGGGATAATTGTGCTAAGAATATTGAATTTAATTCCCCGACAATGTAAAATTAAGATGTAAGGAACAAAAAAGAAAATGTCTATAATTTGGATAAGTGGGGTTCAGTCAAAAATCATTAATTTTAGTTCTGAGCAGTGAAGACAATTTTTAACAAACTGAATGGAAAAAAGAATAATAGTTTAGGGTGTTAAAGACAATTTTGATGCTATCTGTGGTTTACTTTTTGCCGGTGAAATAGAGGGAAATAGCTAGATATCCAGAGGCCACTGTTGTTAGTGCGTTATTCACACGGCTTCTGTACATCTGATATACCCATTACCACCGATAATATCTCCCTTCAAAAAAGAAAATATTTAAAACAAGTTAAGAAGAAATTCTTCATTGGATTTTAAACAGTCTGTTTTTAAGAGCAATTCCTTGTACTTTTAAAGAAATAAAAGAGACTTTTAAAACAAGACAGAATTATGGGAGAATAAACATTTAATATCGTGATGATAATTTATGATGTAAACTATTTCCTCTCCATTTGTTATGAGATTTTTAATTTTTTTTTTTAACATTTTATTGTTTTACCTGAAGGCGTGCTGTAAAATGCGAGGTAATTTTTCAAACTTTTAACAAGTTCTAGATTGCCTCATTAAGTCTGCATTCCTGTGCATATCAACTCCATTAAAGTAGGGTTGACATGTGTTTATAAAGTTTTAAAAATTTGCCCTTCATGTAAAAATATTGCGACATTTCCTGCTACAGCTGGTGAGATTAACTGGTGAAAACAGCATTAAGTGAAGTAGTCGACTTACCAATCAAGGAATGTGACCTTGCCATTATTAGACTATTTTACTGATGTCTTAACAATCAAGAAATGTGACCTTGCCATTACTAGACTATTTTACTGTGTCTTACTAGACTATTTTACTATGTCTTACCAAAGGTCAGCAGGAGAGAGAGGAATGTATGTTTGTGTTGATTTGAAAATAATCTTTACTGAATACTTATCCTAACTTAAGACGAACAGTTCATCCTGTCTGAGATTTAAACAGACTATTGCATTTCAGAGCATTTTTTAATCTGAAAACAACATGCAATTTTTAGTTACTTATTTCCAAGGCATTCTTTTATTATTAAGTATTTTCTTCAAATGAATAAAAAAAAAACAAGCTATACATATGTAGTTCATACAAAGATCTCCCCCTGTATGGGAGGTCTTCCCTAATATTCCCTATCCATAAAAAGGGGCATTGGCCCAATTCCCACTACATATAATGGACAATCTCTGGCTAATTCCCCCTATATACAGTGAGCCATGTCTTGCTAATTCTTACTGCATACAATGGACTTATGTCTGGCTAATGCCAAATACATATAATGGATATTTTGTGGCTAATTCCCACTACATATAATTTACACTCTGTGGCTAATTCCCACTACATATAATTACACCCTTTAGCTGATTGCCACTACATATGATTTACACTGGCTAATTCCCACTACATATAATTTACACTTTGTGGCTAATTCCAACTACATATAATTTACACACTGTGGCTAATTCCCACCATATAATTTACACTCTCTAGCTAATTCCCACTATATATAATTTACACTCTGTGGCTAATTCCCACTACATATAATTTACACTCTGTGGCTAATTCCTACTACATATAATTTACACTCTGTGGCTAATTCCCACTACATATAATTTACACTCTGTGGCAAATTCCCACTACATATAATTTACACTCTGTGGCTAATTCCCACTACATATAATTTACACTCTGTGGCTAATTCCCACTACATATAATTTACACTCTGTGGATAATTCCCACTACATATAATTTACACTCTGTGGCTAATTCCCACGACATATAATTTACACTCTGTGGCTAATTCCCACTACATATAATTTACACTCTGTGGCTAATTCCCACGACATATAATTTACACTCTGTGGCTAATTCCCACAACATATAATTTAAACTCTGTGGCTAATTCCCACTACATATAATTTACACACTGTGGCTAATTCCCACTACATATAATTTACACTCTGTGGCAAATTCCCACTACATATAATTTACACTCTGTGGCTAATTCCCACTACATATAATTAACACTCAGGGGCTAATTCCCACTACATACAATGGACACTCTGTGGCTATTTCCCACCTAATAGGAATTACACTAGCTGTCTGTGAGTCCGTCTGTTTGATTCTGTACATCAGTATGTTTGTTGTGAAGCAATTTACTGTGGAATCATTTTAATTCATGGTGACCAATATTTAAGGGCAGTCAACATTATTTTACTAATTCATGGGGATGTAATTTCATATGTAATGGTAAATCACAAAATCCATGCATGAACATCAGTGGTTCCCCATGAACATTGAGGATTCTACAGTAACTCATAATTTTATACAAAAACAGTTTGCAGTAAGGAAAAGACACCTGGGGTCTTATTTCTCTGTCTGTCTGTTTCAATGTACAGGACTGTATGTATATAACTCAAATGGTTTTTATCAGAACTATTTCCAATGTTACACAGAAGGGGGTTGATAATTAATGACAGACACCTATAAAATGTGTTGTCATATCACTCTGTTCAAGTAATTATAACATATATATGAATGAATTTATATATCCATATTCTATTCTATAGGGCTGGGAGGACATATTTATAATATAGATTATGCGTGATAAAGATATGTGTATAGATATGTGTGATAATGATATGCATATTGATACCTATGTAGAAATATTAATATGGAAAACGACATTTCAGACCTGTTTTTTCTTTCTTTTACTAAATGTTTTGGGTTTAAAATATTCAAGAAATATTTTGAATATAAACAGTATGAAATGTGTAGTACATATTTTATCATGGAATAAATATCATGCTATGTATCGATATAGAAGAAAGTGTATTGTCCCAGCCCTACAATTCTATTTATATATATATTTCAAGTATAGTTGTCACCTCTGACTGTGTCAATTTTCTTTAAGTTTTTTGTAACTTTTTTTTTTCTCTCTAGTTTGTTTCATTGATGAATGACCTGCCATTACAATCTCTTTGTACCAAGCTCTTGGCCTCCATAAAAATAAAATGCTTCCTTGATTGATTACATCTAATTTTGTCATCTGTCAGCCCTGTCAAAGTTTTGAATGAAAATCTATTTTTTTTCTTTTATGTTGACAGGTGTTGGTGGTTATATACAATGTAGAGAATTCTCAACTCCAACCCAAAACCAGGTATGACTATCTTATAATAACTCCAACTAAAAACCAGGTATGACTATAAATAACTCCAACCAAAACCAGGTATGACTATAAATAACTCCAACCAAAATCCAGGTATGACTATCAATAACTTCAGCCAAAACCAGATATGACTCTCAATAACTGGAACTAAAAACCAGGTATGACTATCAATAACTCCAACTAAAAACCAGGTATGACTATCGATAACTACAAGTAAAAATCAGAAATGGCTATCAATAACTCCAACTAAAAACAGGTATGACTATTATTTAATCCAACCAAAACCAGGTATGACTATCGATAACTCCAACCAAAACCAGGGATGACTATCAATAACTCTAACCCAAAACTAGGTATGATTATCAATATGCCAGTTGTAAACAGGGGCCTACAGTGAACTGAACATCAAGCTGTTCCTGTTAATAGATATGGTTAATAATATTTGATTGAACTTTAATGCATTTCCTGAGAAAATTTTTAAAAATTTATATTGTACATAACAATATTAATTCAGAAGGAATTTGTATCTTAAAGTCTAAAGAAAAGGAAGAGGTTAATATAGGCTCATACTGGGGATTAAAATGTTATGTAACATTTACATTTAAGGGTAGGGTTAGGGTTAGGGTTACATTTAAGGGTATAATCCAAATTCAGTTACAGATTACTAAATATTTAGGGATTTGTTGCTAATTCCATAATTTAGTGAAGAGGATGTTATAATAATTATAGATTACTAAATATTTAGGGATTTGTTGCTGATTTCATAATTCAGTGATGAGCGTGTTATAATTCAGTGATGAGCGTGTTATAATTTAGTGATGAGCATGTTATAATTTAGTGATGAGTGTGTTATAATTAGTGATGAGCATGTTATAATTTAGTGATGAGCGTGTAATAATTTAGTGATGAGCATGTTATAATTTAGTGATGAGTGTGTTATAATTTAGTGATGAGCGTGTTGTAATTTAGTGATGAGCGTGAAATAATTTAGTGATGAGCGTGTTATAATTCAGTGATGAGCATGTTATAATTTAGTGATGAGCATATGAGAATGTTATAATTTAGTGATGAGCGTGTTATAATTTAGTGATGAGCATGTTATAATTTAGTGGTGAGCATGTTATAATTTAGTGATGAGCTTGTTATAATCATGTCTATTTCCTTCATCGTCCAGGGTACAGATTTGCCTGGAAACAAGTCCTCAGCTAAAAAGAAGTCCTGGTCCCCCAACTCTAAGTCAGACCTTCCCCCAGGGAAACAAGGCACCCATGGGTCACTGGACGACCTCTGCATGGTAGGTTTTATTCTTTAACCATGGTTTTGTGACTGATGAATGAAGTCACTAAACATTTACTTAGTTTTTCAGTACAGCCAGGAATCAGGTCTGCTTTTGACTCTGATACTAAGACATGATAGAGTTCCTACAGTATATTTTTTCCTTTTTCTTTTTTTGCTGGTCACTAACCATACTGACAGGAAATTGTGTTTATTTTGATTTTATTAATTATCAAAGGTCTTTAAAGGATCTCCTTCACTGTTCCTTAATTGTGATGTAGGTGTCCATATAGCAGACATTTCTGTAAACCTTAGAATAAATATGGTATACAAAAATAGTTTTTGTATTTAACTGCAACATTGCCTATCATCTTTAGTGGATTAAACAAGGAAAAATCCATCAAACACTGTCTTAAGTTTTAAGAGGTAACACAATTAAAAGCTTCAGTCTGTAAAATATATCTTAATGAAACATTTGGTAAAACATGATCAGAGTTAAAAAATCTCTTGTAACTTGTAGAATAGGTAAAGGTGTAAATGGATGCATTATTAATCACAGCTGGAATGCCCCTTTGGCGGACTTATTGATTAATGCGATTCACTTCCCAAGGAAAATAGAGGAAAAATAACCAAGAAATCCATGTACATATATACATGTAATGAAGAATTTAAACTTTTATATAAATCATCATTGTTCATGTGGGACCATTGTTCATGGATTTCGTTCAGGTCACCCTCACCCAAGGATTTCATGGGTCACCCTCATCCACGAATTTACATCCCTAAGATCCATAACTATCAATGTATTGGTACATTGACTCTTAAGTACAGTATAAATGAGTTACCTATGAAATGATGACGTCCCCATGAATTGGAATGAAGTAAAATCTTGGTTATTTACAAACATTGACCCCCATGAATTAAAATGATTCCACGGTACTCATTGCCTTCAACAAAATGTCAGTTGATGGGAGTTACAAATACTTGATACAGTACTGTTTAATATATTTTTGAGACACCATTAGTTCTGGGTTTCCATGTAGTTATTACCAGCATGTTTTTTGATGAAACACCATTGTATGAAACAATGAATTCTTATCTGTGTCTTTGTGTGTCTCTTGTCAGATCATTACTATATAAAGCCAATATGATAGTGTTTATTTTCAGTTTTTGCTGCCCATCAAAACTTTAGCTGGTCCCTTTATTACAGGGTTATGACACCAGTTTAATGTAGCCAATGATCACTTAATAACAATGAGAGATAAGTTTGTCCCGAGGGAGGACTGAGGTCAGTTTATGTCCACTCCCAGGGAGTATTTGTATAATGACCTCCTAAATGGACACTCAATATATCTAACTGATGACTTGTATCAGTGAAACAAATTGGTGTTAAAGTTTGGCTTGTGCAATTATAATCTTGTTTAGTGTAAATAAAATGATACATATGTCTATTTACACAGAAAGATACACTCCATAGCTAAGTCAATATATCATCAAAGTCAACAATCCATCTTAAGTATATGTAATCCATTGTAAAATGTCCCGATATAGGGACAGTTATGCCAGGGTTAGCTGTTATGGGGGATAAGTGATGTTTGTTATTAAGTATTAGTCCATTCACTTGTATAAAGTTTGTTCTGTATGAAATAATTTAACCTGAATGCATGTCAACCTGTGACAGTAAGGTTTAATAATTGACCATCATTGACAATTAATTTATATCAGATGCAGCTTCCTTCACTTCGACCATTAGACCCAGCCTTGAAAGAGCCTGTAATTGAATTAAGCTTTCATTGGCTGTTGATTTGAATCTGTGGCCATTGTTTGTGTTCTATCACTGTGTATGATCTCCTTTCACGTCCGCTGAGGGATTGTTCCACCGACTTTAATCTATGCCCTATCCACAATCTCCATTCATGGCCAGTGAGAGGTTGTTCCACTGTGGTTAATCTATGCCCTATCCATTCTTTACCCCTGAGTGTGGACAAGGCAGTTTTGTTTTTGAATTCATTCACAAAGTGTTATTTTCTGTCTCATATTACGGGTTATTGTTTAGGCCATATGCTGTAGTGACATGGACTGTTAAGCCACTGTATTTCCTTTAACAATCAATAGAAACACTTTGTAAAACTGTCAATAATCAGTCTACAGGATTGTATCGACACACTTATCAAACAAATACAGAGTCTATAAATTATTACATTTTATACAGCTCATCTTGTTTGACAAAGTAATATCATTGAAATGATAGTGCCTTGAATAATGATAAGCAGGATAAGTCCAATGCTTAAGAAAAGCTTCATGTAAAAATATATCCTTCAAAATGAATTTTGGAGGGCCATTATCATGATTTTGGTTTCATTCATGCATATATTTCCATGCTCATCTCTGAGAGATATCTGATTTAAGCAAGTTTTGATGAATTTCAATACAGTTTTGGTGTTTATGAAAATATTTGTAAACAAAAATTACTATGAAGATTCTGGGTATTTTTTGTATTATTTCATGGACACTTTGTTGGGATTTATATGAAATTTGAGATGGAATCATAGTTTGACAGTATAGAGATATTGGCAGAGTTACAGCTAAATCTGTTCAGTTCTTGGGAGTGCATCTTAATGTGAGGCAAACATGATATAATTATATAGACATAATATAACAAAGAAGTTGGAATGAGCAGGATTTTACTTAAGCAGCAAAATATGATTAAGATTACAACATAAAATATATGTGCAAAGATTTTGGAACATTTTTCAGTATTCTTTCAATTATTTTTTGTCTTGTAAACACTTGCAGTTAGTAACATTTTTGTTCTCTTTCTTTTTTTAAAGGACCCAGAAATTTCCAGCGTGTGGTTACAGAGTCAAGATTTTGTAGGACTAGGATTTAACATCGCAGGAAGTATGAGGGACGGAATATTTGTCAGTCAAGTCCACAGTCGCGGACCAGCGGTCGAGTCAGGGAAATTCCATGTTGGTGAGTGATTGTGCATCTAGCTTTTAAATGCTGTAAATGTCCTTTTTTTTCCATGAGGCCATAATTCTGCAGAATTACAATTTGTGTTCAATTTGTGGGTCGACAATTATGCAGATTTTCTTGGGTTCTTATTGTTTGTCCTAAATGCCTTTTAAGATCTGACGATACATTCCTCAAAGAATCTGGGGGAATAAGACGAGCCATATGCCCATGCCCATTTTTCGGCTATGCTAGAACATTTATTGGAAAAAATCTCTCAATTGTTCGAATTTACTTAAGCATTTTAATGTTTACCGTAGTTTTCAAAATGATATTTACATTATAAACAAGCTAAACAGTTGACTTTCATTTACTGTCACATATGTCTTACATGGGTAAGGACTTCTATTTAATAATTAATCTGCATATTGAGTGTTTACTCTTATTGTGGAGATATTATAAAAATGTTAACATCGTATATAATGATAATGGTGATCTAGAAGCGCTTTTATTTAAAATAAATAAAAACGGGAATAAAAGTATTCAAATATCTATTATAATTTTTATCCGGCATTTTAAATAATTTACTGTAAATAAGTTCATTACTACATGTATATATTTTATTTCCAGTGAAAAATATGTTATTCCTATAGACATTTTTTTAATAAAGTAAAAAAAAAAAAAAAAAAATCAAAAAAATCAGAGCATGACTCGAACACTTTCCTCAATAAACGTCCATTTAAAGAGCTCCTCGCTAACCACTAGACCACGGAGTCACACTAACATGTCTCTTTAAATAGCATACAGTTCTCTATATTTAGCAAGCGTTTTTGAACTTAGAATTTTTTAAGACCACGGTGAAAATTTAAGTAAGTTAACTTAATTTTTTATGTAGAGTGGGTCTTCTTACCAAATATTTGCAAGTGTAAAAAGCAACATCATTCCATTGCCTTTCATTAATCGTTCTCAAAAAAATGGTACGATGACCCACTCTATTTAAAAAATGTAGTTATATCATCCAATTTATGTCAGTTTCTGTGAAAATTGAGCGTGATGCCATTTTGTTGTGTTAATCAGAATCATTTTCGCTGTTACAGTATTCATGTTTTGTCAAATTTGTATGCAAATGGTAATAAGCATTACATTAATTCAACAAAAAGTGAAATTTTTGTAAAATGAATTTATTGATTTTTTATCGATCGTTATGTAGGCATATGGCTCGGCTTATCCCCCCAGTTTCTTTCTGTTTTGTTTTTCCTTGTAATTTATAAGAAACATTCATAATATTAACATTGTCTTGTAAATTCTAGACTGTCTTCAAAATGTCTTAGAAAATAAATACAACAAAAATTTTTATGCTGACAATTCAAGTGATTTCAAATAGAATTATATAGGAAACAGTACCACCCTCTGCCTGGTAAGGTATCTCAATTTTTTGTGAGGGAACTTGTTAAACTAGCAGTACTTCAATGACAAATTCTTGGGAAAAATTATATATTATTGAGGAACATTTGTCTGACCTTAAATCCAGTGACAGATTTCTGTGGAAAATTTATGACCTCGTACATAGCATAAATTAATCCCAGGCGGGAAAAAAGTACATGTACAGTATTATTTTTACTGAATGTGTTTCTATTCACTAGATAAAATTTTATCTCATGAATGAAATAAATTCCATATCCACCTATAAAACATTGAATTTTCTGTTAATTATATTTTCTTTGCATTTTTCCTTTAAATGTTATTAGCAAAGTAATTCTGATTGTTATTTTCACACTGTAATTAAGAAATATCTGTGAAAATATGTATTTTATTCAATCAGTGAGTTACTGTATTTCACTTTAGAAAATAATAAGGAAATTAATTACAAACTTCTGTTCTCATCATGATATAAAAACACACACACACACCATCCCCGTGGAAATGTATAAACAGTAACGGAGCATCAGATTATGTAAAACATAAATATTTTTGATCACATTTGATGTAAAAATTTGTTAGAAAAACTTGATTTTATGTTAACATTCTACATCAGTTTGTTGTATGTAATAATTGTTATTACTAATTTAAAAGTCAATATTCAATGTAGATATATCATATAATGAATGTATATATACATTTCCAAATTTCTCCCATGTACAATATAATGCTTTTATATGTGATCTAAACAAGATTCTTCTTCTTGTTCCTTTTGGAATTTGTGATAAATTAAAAAATTTATAGAAGTCTGAATAATTGTTAATTTCACTACAGCATTGTCGTAACGATCTTATGTAGTGTAGAGATGTAGTGAAAATTAGGAGGTAATGAAGTATGTGTTCAGATTATGATGCCAGGCTATAAATGTGATATAATTACCAGTACTTGTACATGAAGACAAGAGTACGTGACACAGAAAACATCCATGTTATAATGTAAACTTAGTGTCCTGTGATAATGTAATAATATCTGTGTAAAATAGTCATTTTGTAAGATTTTCCACTGTACTGTTATTATTATAATGGTTTATGCCACACACATCATGTTCTTAAATTTAGGTAATTAATAATGTGAGTAAGAAGACAATTAATAAATTGAATAACCACAAAATTTTCTTTTAATTACCATGATTTAACAGTAAAACTAGAGTAAAAGGCCTGGTTTATTCACAAAAGGTGAAAGGGTAATGGTTCTGTTAATTAATATTGGAATGACAAAAATGTTGACATTAGAGATAAAAAAAAAAAATCTTAAAATTTACACTAAGCTTTAGCTAGAAAATAATGCTAGTTCTAAAATACAATGTGTAGACTTAATGATCATTAGAATTTTTCAAAATTGCTTTTAATGACAATTTGAATATAAAACAGCATAAGATATGATAACAATTTTGAATAACTTGCTCAAGAGATTTTAAAATTTAAAATTTTTCTTTTTTTATCATTTTAGGTGACCGTATTCTGAGTGTGACTGTGTCATTTGAGAATATGGTATACGAAGACGCCCTGACTATTCTCAGCTACGCCTCACCTTACCCTGTCAAAATCACTCTACAGAAGGAGAGACCTTCCAAGTCCAAGGAAAGACGGAGCGGTCATCAACGGACGATTCTCAGCCATCCTCTGTATCGTAGTCAGTCCATGGACACCCTGCTAAAGATAAACAAAGAACCGGTGTACACACCAAAGAGGAGCATGAGTGAGATGAGGCAGCCTAAGGAAGTACTGGACAACCTCAAACAGACGCTGAAGGTCAGTGTGGACTCCGACAACAGACAGAGTAACATCAGTGAACACTCGCCAGAAATCCATGTCTCCGCGGAGGTGGAGGAGGCCAGCATAACTCAGGATAAACAACCCATGACTGTCTTACTGCCCCCACCCACTGGTGATGATGAAGACGATGATATCCCACCCCCTCAGCCCACCATTCCACCCCCACCCCTAGAGTTTAATGATATGCTTGATGGAGAGATTTCTACTCCCGATCCAACCTCTACAGGGATGCAGTTTTCCTCTGCATTTGAAAATCTTAATGAACAAGACAAGTTGGACATGATTCGTTTGTCTTACGAAGATCCAGACACCAAAATCAACAAAGATGATCTGGATACCAGTTTAACAGATTCTAGAGAACCAGCATTGGCTGATGTTTCATTTCAGTCGGACAGTACAGTCACAGAAGGAGAGCCAAAATCTCCAACCACACCGGTCAAACCGGAACGCAAGAAAAAGAAATCATCTAGTGAGACATCAAGTCTGTCTTCTTTAGATGAGGCAGGGGATGGGCAGAGATCCCCCCGAGATCTAATGCCAGACATTGTGGAGGATCACATTTCTATGTCGGTGTCAAGGACTGAAAATGCTGCACCAAGTGTAGAACCTTCAGAGGTGTTCGAGGATGTAATCACTCCTCAAAAATCAGACAGAGAGATAAAATTATCATCTGGAAAAATTGAATTATCATCGTTAAATGTTGCAGTGACAAATGAAGGTGATTTACCCGATTCTCCTCCAGAAACCAGTAGGACATTAGTGGACTACAGTCTATCTGATATGGAGAGCACCCTACGCCCCCACACTCCCGAGAATCAACCCTCTATAGACGAAGACATCATCACACCGGTGCAGCTCAAAAGGGGTGAACTTGAGTCCTCCATGTTAAACTATTTTAATGACTCTGGAAACACTTCAACTTCAACAGTAGAAAACCAGCAATCACTGAAAACTGATTCACCGAACACCACCGTCACAAGTGTGGACTTCAACATTAACATGAACTCTAACACCGATTTATTTTCTACTCCATACCCAAAGAGAAATACCAAAGAAGGTCACAGTGGAATGTCATATGACATCTCTATGATGGAACTTAATGACATTGAGAAAAAATTAAAACAGAAAACAAAGGAACACACAAAACAAGGTGTGGCTTTTGAAGTTCGGGATGATGTGCTCTCAGGGGAAACTGTGATGTCTCGGCTTACTGAGGACGAAGTGAGTGGTCATGTTTCACGGACTAAGTCTTGTGAAGACAATCTGGCTAAGAAAGCAATGCTGGATAGTTCATTGAGTTGGTCTGGAAAGCGTCTTGTCCGTGCGGGATCATTTTCAGAACTTCCTCAGGATGATTCTAGTGACTGGGTAGACCATATCTCCCTAAATAATGATGAAAGCATCATTTCTCAGGAGGAAGACAAGGACACATTTAACTCATCTGAAGAAAGCCTAAATAGCAATAACAAAAATGGACTTAAAAAGGCCAAAATGTTTGGTGCTCGTGAAAACCTCGCCAACTTGTCTTCAGAAAACTCAGGATCCCAGCAATCGATATCTGACTCCGTAAGTGGGGGTTCCAAGACCCCTCCCCCCTACCTCAGTAATAATGGGGCTCACAATGGGGGCACATCCTCCCAAGACTCCACCCCTGTCAAACCCCACATAAACCCATCTACCTCCAATATTGACTCCTTTGTGAAAGTGGGAGAAAATGGTCCTTATTCTCTGTCAGGGGACATAACACCTGGAGATGAAGAGGACTGCTAAGTAAAATGTGTTCTCGAGTATCGTCACTGGTCAGCCGTGTTATACATGTGGCACAACGAGTCACTGCATGAAATACTACTTTGATATTTTTATATGAATATTTAATGTTTCTGCTGTTAAGGTTCTGCTTTTAATTGTTTCGTTCTGTAAGATTTTTAAAAAAATTTCAAATTTATATTTTTCCACTTTATTCCCAGTGATATTTTATGTGAAAAATATTTTTTAACATTTACATTTTTTCATAATTTTGAATAAATACTGTAATTTAACAAGAGTATTTGATATTTGTAAAAAAAAAAAAAAAAAAATTGATAATCTATAACTTCCGCAGCTTTTTGAATTTTTACATTTTGTATCAGATCCAACCATTCCAAGTATTTTATGTGAAGAATTTTTTTTGTTCCATTGCAATGGGTGCTCTACTTTTTTTTTTTACTCCGCTTTACATTGGAATATTCTGTTTTATCAACACATGATTTTGTGTAATATTATAAGCTTTTTTAAATTTTAACTCGAAGCCAGTAATTTTCACCTGGGTTGATTGAGAATATTTATTGGACTAGAAGAGTTATCTTTCTTATATTGGTGTCCATCGTTCCAAACTAAGAACAAAAAACATTTTTGATACAGATAAACATTAAGAAGAACTGACATTTAAAGTTCCTTCAAAAATGCTTTGACTGAGTTGTAACTAGACACATTCAATGTTAATGTGATATGGAATATATTAAACAATATGTACTCGTAATTATCAATAGTTTTCATTTCAACTGAAGATAATACATGTACTTGTCACTCTTTAATAATAGGTGTGAAGGTATATGAGAAAATATAATTTAATGTGTATGCCACATTCTATTGCAAAAAGGCAAAAAATAATGTAGAACACAGAATAATGTCATTATTGTATAAAAAATTAGGTACTAACGAATGTAAATATGCCTGACAAAGTCACCTGTAGTCAGTTGTGGATTTCATATTAATTAGTAAGTGCTATGTATCTAATACATAATGAACATTTGTAATAAAACATCACAGGTTTTGGGAAGTGTTCATATTGTTATATAAGTATGTAAATATGTATTATTATTAATTTGTTTTATTATATATATTTTATATATCTATTATAATAAATATACTCAAGTTTTAATTCAAACAAAGTACTGTGTTTGTTTCCATAAGCAAGAAAAACAGGATTTATGTACATTTTCTTTTTATCAAATTAACTGTATAACGTGATTAGATCAGCTAGTGGTCTAAAACCACAACGCATCTGACTCTTATTCACTATGTCTTTAATCAAATTTTTATATCCTTTTGCTTGATTTGATCAAATATGAAGCACAATCAGACTGGAATATCTTCTATTTTTCTCATAAAAATGGGTTGCAAAAGATATATTTGGAAAACATTTTTTTACCAATCATGACAAGGAGCACAAGGTGGGTGTAACCTGTTGGCAGGGGATGCTCACTCCTCCATGGCACCTGATCCCATCTCTAAATTTTGAAGTCCTTGTTTGCTCTGCTTAAATATGCATCGTTTCATTGGACTTTCGAGATTGAATACTGTTCATTTTTTTCATATTTCATTAAGGATGTCTGTCCCTCAGTCATGAATAATAACTCAATCTTGAAATTATCATTTATTTGAATAAATCTCAAAATAAACCTTGAAAATTTTGTTGTGGAACAATTTATGCATCCTTATATGATATCCAAGGTAGTTTGAAGTCTGAAGCAGTCTAATAAATATTTACATGTGCTTCCTATAAAAAGACAAAGACATTTTCTAGAGAAATGAAATTTTAACTTTTCTTACATTCAAATGCTTTTAACTATAAAATGAAGTTGGAAGTTATCTGTGATACTTTGCAATGGTGTCACATGCTATATACACAACATCTTGTTTAAGAACTACATGAAATTAATAGAAGAACTATACTACTTCACAAGTGTCAAAAACGAGCAATTTTTTTCAGGTGCCTCAATACCTATAATTTTACAGTGTTTGTCATGTCAGTCTTCCATCTTTACTTACATCACACTTTCCATTTAGCTCAGTTTCAAAACAAGATATTTTTATTAAATTTCATCTGCTGATACATATTGATGAGAACTATTCAATGCATCAACATTATTTGAGCTTGACCTTTCCTTTGACCTTGACCTTTTCTTAATTTAGTGTATAACTCAGTTTCGAAGAAACCATTCAAGATATTTTTATCAAACTTTAAATGGTGATACTCGTAAGATGTTCAACTGCAACATATTTTTTACCTTGACCTTTCTTTTGACCTTGATCTCACTTTTTTAATTTGATTTTTTGTTTCAAAGACACTATTCAAGATATTTTTTTAAAATCTGAAATGCTGATACATATTAGAGCTATTCAAATTCATCAACATTTCTGTGTTGTCATGCCCTGTTGCAACCACTATTGAAATAATTATTTCAATAGTGGTTGAGAATGCATTTCAAAACCAAACACAGCTTGTAACCACTATTGAAATAATGTTCACTATTGAAATAATTATTTCAATAGTGGTTGAGAGTGCATTTCAAAACCAGACACAGCTTGTAACCACTATTGAAATAACGACCACTATTGAAATAATTATTTCAATAGTGATTGAGAGTGCATTTCAAAACCCAACATAGGTTGCAACCGCTATCGAAATAACGTTCACTATTGAAATAAAGATTTCAATAGTGATTGAAATAATGATTTCAATAGTGATTGGAATCATTATTTCAATAGTTGCTGACAATGATTTCAATATAAAAACCAAATTGCAACCCTCATTGAAATAACCCCAATATTGGAAATAAATATAAGGAGAAATTCTTCATTATGTTTTCCAACATAATAAAATTAATTTATTGAGTTTAAATATGATATGTAATTTTATGTTTCAATTTCTGTCCAGAAATACTATTAATACACGGATATCTGTGATTTAACTGATCTAGTAATTTTAAGTAATTTTGTTATATCATTTTCATCTTTGTTATTAATTGGGGAAAGTAAAAGATTATAAATACGGATAGTTGTAGAAATTAGAATATCTACATTAAAAAGAAGAAAGAAGACATCTATTGATATCTAATATGTGTACAAACTTTCTGATGAAAAAAAAAAGATTAATTTTAATCAAAAGGATATAGAATAGAAGTAAATTTTCGCTTATATTCTTGGGCTTGCCACACTATTAATATGGACAGTAAATCAAACGTTTCTTGTCAATACATTAAAATCAACTATTTGGGAAAACTAAGTATAAGTGTTATAACATCGGAGGTCGTTATTTCAATAGTGGTTACACGTATAAAAACCGCTATTGAAATAATTATTTCAGTAGTGACCGTTATTTCAATAGTGATGACAACTTGGTTTAGGCTTTGAAATGCTCTCTTAACCACTATTGAAATAATTGTTTCAATAGTGAACGTTATTTCAATAGCGGTTACAAGCTGTGTTTGGTTTTGAAATGCACTCTCAACCACTATTGAAATAATTATTTCAATAGTGAACATTATTTCAATAGCGGTTACAAGCTGTGTTTGGTTTTGAAATGCATTCTCAACCACTATTGAAATAATTATTTCAATAGTGGTCGTTATTTCAATAGTGGTGCAACAATGCCCATCTTCCATCCTTCTGTCTGTCCTTCGGTAGCGCTATGCATTTAGCTCTGTTTCAAAGCTACTAGTATTCAAGATATTTTTATCAAACTGGATATGTTAATACATATTGATGAGAGCTATTCAAATGCATCACTATTTATTGACCTTGACATTTCTTTTTTACCTTGACCTAACTTTTATTAAATTAGTGTTTAGCTCAGTTTTAAAAAAAAATATTTAAGATATTCATTACAGGCCTTATATGCTGATACATAACGATGAGAGCTATTTAACTGCATCATCAGTTTTTGACCTAGACCTTTCCCTTGAACTATTTATCCACCTTGATATTTCCTTTTTACCTTGACCTAACTTTTATTAAATTAGTGTTTAGCTCAGTTTTGCTCATTAATCAATTAAATTTTGGGTGCTATTTGTCTTGCTTGCCATAGTAATAAATGGAAAAATTGAAATGTGAACTTGAGGCAAGGTCATGATCATTAAAACATGCATAAAGTGTAAATTCTGAGTGTAAATTCTAAACCAAGTGTTCCAAAGGTATTACACGAAATCTCCCTAACAAAAAATACTATTGTTAACTATAGTTAACTATAGTAAATGAAAGTGTCAACGTTATCACAATAGTAAATCAAAGTTTTCAAAGTGATCACTGTAGTAAATCAAAGTTTTCACCATAGTAAATCAAAGTTTTCATAGTGATTTGTGTAGTAAATCAAAGTTTTCATAGTAATTTGTGTAGTAAATCAAAATTTTCATAGTGATTTGTGTAGTAAATCGAAGTTTTCATAGTGAACAATATAGTAAATCAAAGTTTTCATAGTGATTTGTGTAGTAAATCAAAGTTTTCATAGTGATTTGCGTAGTAAATCAAAATTTTCATAGTGATTTGTGTAGTAAATCAAAGTTTTCATAGTGAACAATATAGTAAATCAAAGTTTTCATAGTGATCACTATAGTAAATCGAAGATATCACTTTAGTAAATCAAAGTGTCTAAGTTATCACTATAGTTAACAATAGTTTTCAAAGTGTCAAAGTTATCACTATAGTTAATAACTATAGTATTTTTTTGTTAAGGCTGTTTCACTACCTCATGGCACAGTGACCTTAACTTTGTAATATGGCATTGAATCAAGTGAACGGCACTCTTAAATGTCATCGAAAAGAATATTCTCACTTTTGAATCCATTCATATCCAGGTTTAAAGAGTTTGACCCCAAATGCTATTTATCTCATTCCCAAGTGACCTTTACCTCTAAAATACATGTGTATGACCCTGAAACAGAAAAGTCACCTTTAGATCACGAGAGTCGTTTGAAATTTGAAATCATTCCTGCTCTGGGTTTGAAATCTACGTCCAGCACATTTTTTTTTTTTTTGTGACAGACAGCCAGCTAGCTAGGGAGGCTATGATTACGCTAAATTAATTTTTCTACCGACGTAATGATCCATAATAGAGAATCGACACAAAATTTATACATGAGTAATCGTTATGTTTTGAAAACATTTATTTTAGACCAACTATCATCTTCAATACCAGATTATCTTGATCTAGAAATTTTACTGTCA